AGGGGTCTCACCCATGCAAGCAGAGGAGCGGGGCCTTTTCTGGCACCGCAGTTTTGTTTTAAAACTGGACCTGTATATTTGTAAAGCTATTTATGGGCCCCCGGCACCCTCGTTCCCACACCCCAACACTTCTAGCATTTAGCCAGCCACGTGGCGGAGAGTTTTAATTTTTAACTTATTAACAGCCGAGAAGGTTTATCCTGCCTATAGAGGGACAGCCAAGAATGTACGTCCAGCCTGCCCCGGAGCTGGAGGATTCCCTCCAAGCCTAAAAGGTCGTTAATAGTTGGAGGTGATTCCATTGAGTGAGGATATTTTATTTCCTTCGTCCTTCTTTTTCAGGAGAATTAGATTTCTATAGGATTTTTCTTTAGGAGATTTATTTTTTGGACTTCAAAGCAAGCTGGTATTTTCATACAAATTCTTCTAATTGCTGTGTGTCCCAGGCGGGGAGATGGTTTCCAGGGAGGGGCCGGCCCTGCGTGCAGGTTCAGATGTTATTAGATGTTACAAGTTTATATATATCTATATATATAATTTATTGAGTTTTTACAAGATGTATTTGCTGTAGACTTAACACTTCTTACGCAATGCTTCTAGAGTTTTATAGCCTGGACTGCTACCTTTCAAAGCTTGGAGGGAAGCTGTGAATTCAGTTGGTTGGTTCTGTACTGTTACTGGGCACTGAGTCTGGGCGGCTGTCCCTTGCTTGCCTGCAGGGCATGGCTCAGGGTGGTCTCTTCTTGAGACCCAGTGCATGGTGGCCAGAGGTGTCACCCAAACCTGCAGGTGCGATTTTGTTAACCCAGCGACGAACTTTGCAAAAAATAAAGACACCTGGTTCCTAACCTGGCTCTGAGGTTTCTGCCTCCCGTTCTTCTGGGATAGGGGAGGGAGGGGTTACTGGCTGCCAGGTGGTCCCAGGTGGATGCTGGCAGCAGCACCGAAGGTCCCTGGTGGTCTGGGAGCCCCAAGGGCGAGGAGATTTACGGGAGGGCCCTGGTGGGAGGGAGCAGGGTGCCTGGGGGTGCACTGCCCTGGCTGCGCCCAGCTCGTGGGTTCCGGAGGTGGTGGTAGTGGGGAGGGTCCTGTCCCACTAGCTGTGAGGCAGACCTTCCCTCATCACCCCACCCCTGGCATCTGCCTTCCCAGTCAACTGGGGAGCTTTCTGGGCATCCCCCGCATGGAGCCAAAAGTAAGCAAAACCCTCTTGGGGCCCTGGGGGGCTACACAGGTGGCCACTCTCTGGGTCAGCCTCTGCCCTCCCAGGCCGGGCAACCAGTGCCCCCACTGCCTTGGGCTCCATCAGGGTCCCCCACAGTGACACCACCTTTGGGCAGATGAGGTGCTGATGGGGGTGCTGAGAACCCAGAGATGGAACCGGGCCCTTGTCCAAGCTCATAGCCCTAGCAGGGTGGGAGGACAGCCTGGTGAGAGCAAGTCTGGGAGGGCTTCCTGGAGGAGGAGTGCCATCTCCTGACTCCCCACCACCCTCTGTGTTGTCCTCCCCTCCGCTCTCCTCCCTCTCTTGTCCTCCCCTCCGCTCTCCCCATCTGTGCTGTCCCCACCTCTGCCGCTCTCCCTCTGCTCTCCTCCCCCATCCCCTCTGTTCTCCCCACCTCCTTCTGTCCTCTCTGCCATCCTCCCTCTTCTCTGCTGTCCTCCCTGCTGCTCTTGTCCCTTCTGCCATCCTCCTTGTCTCTCTTCCCCTCTGCTGGCTTGAGAGCAGGGTTTCCCAACCATGGGCTGCATGAACTTTCACTCTATACTCTGGCTCCAAACTCACCTTTCAGGTCAGGGGGCGTTCCTGGTCCCCGTTTCCTGGTCAGGCAAGGGTTTAACTCAACCCCATTCAGGGAAGCACATGTGGGCGCAGGCCTGGTGGAGGCAGCACAGTGACCCCACAAGGGGCTTTCCCTAATGCCCACACCTGCCCAGAAACCCCATGCTGGGCCGGGAGGCAGGCCTGACGATGGGACGCCAGATGACAGTGGCAGGATGGGGAGGCCTACATGGGCCTGAAGGTCACAGGCTGAGGCCTGCAGGGTAGTGGGGCGACCAGGCCAACAGGCAGGCAGTGACAGCAGCCACACCAAGGCCGGCAGAGCGCAGGCCGGGGGCGCCACCTAGCGCTGGCTGGCAGTGTCCCTGCTACAACTTAAGGCACTTCTCCAGTCAGGGCCCTGGTGGACCTCTGGTGGGCACAGTGGGACCCTGAATGGGTGCTGGGGACCAAAGGGCTGGGCCACCGGGAGAACAGTGGCCCATGAAGGTGCTAGTGGGCCAGTCTCCTCCTCCTCAGAGCGCTTCCTTAGAGAACCCAGATGGCAGGGCACAGTCCTCGAAGCTGCCCCACCAGGGGCTCCCCAGCTGCCTCCCCCTGTCCCGTAAGAAGGTGAGCCCATGAGAGACCCCAGCTGTCAGCACAGCTGAACCTCCACCATCAGGGTACCCTCTAGTGGCTGGGCATGCTCTAGGCTGGCAGGGTCCCCGCCCTTGCCATCTGCTGATGGCTTTCTGAGGGGGACGTGTCTCATGGGAGGCCCGGCTTCCAGGACACAACTCGTGGCTCCTGGGGTCCCCAAGGGCACCGGGTTTGTTCACAGCTCTTGGGGTTGCTGTCCCCATGAATAAGCACCTCCCACCCCAGCTGTGGGTCCATCATTTCCTCTGATCAATAAGGGCCTAAGGGTCAAGGGAGGCCCCGAGGGAGGACCCTCAGTGTGAACAAACCAGCAGCCAGGGCCACAGAGAAGCCCGTGAGGCACCCACAGGGCCTGGTCCCAGTGTGGGCAGAGCCACCTAAGGGATGGCTTCTGTCTACTGAGAAGGGTTGGAAGACGCCACACTGCTATCCTGGCACTGGAACCATCCACGCACTCCTGCAGCCGGGCCACGCTGAGGCAGGTAGGCATCCAGAGGTCCGGATAGGGGATTGCCCTCCATGCCCCCAGGCCATCACACGTCCCTCAGGGTGTCTGGGCCCTGCCTGTGGGCTAGACTGCAGGCTGAAGGCCCTGCCTCGTCCAGGACCCCTTAGGGCAGTACTTGGTGCCCTTTCCCCTCAGCTGCCTGAGGAGTTTTTCGGAAGAGCTGGCCCTCCTGGGTGACACCTCGGCCAGGGTCCCAGCCGCTAACTCCAATACTCCCAAGAAGACACGGAGGTCCCCAGAGCAGGGAGAGCATGACGAGGTGACAGGGCCACTGGCCTGGAGAACGTCCCACACTGTTCCATGAGCAGCTCACGCTGTCACAGGACCTGGGAACGTGGGCCTCCTGACCCTGCAGACCATCTTGCAGAGCAGGAAGCGTGAAGCCAAAGGCTAAACCCATGGAGGGCGGCCCAGCACTCAAAACCCCAGGGATGGTGAGGCTCCTTCCGGAACTGGCCTCGCAGCCACGCGCACACCAAGGCCCAGCCCCTGTAGCCATGTGGACAGCACTGCCGGCTTCCACTGGCTCCTGTGTGCCCAACGGTTCAGAAATATTATTACTCTGCACTGTTACAGGAACAGATTTGATGTTTTAATAAAAATACGAGTTCTACAAAAGGTGCTTAACACAGCCCAGGACGGGCTCTCCGGTGGTCAGCCCTAGGACCCCTGAAGGACACACAAAGACAAAGCCGGCTCGCCAGCACGCTCCTGCCAGCACCGGGACCCACTGGGAGCCACTGCAGGTTGTCCTTTATTAAAAAAAAAAGTCTGGATTGTGACATTCCAAAAGGAGTCTGGAAGCTGTATGCCCAATTCCTGAATCCCTACGCTAGAACTGAGAGTTTAGGCTGGGCGCGGTGGCTCACGCCTGTAATCCCAGCACTTTGGGAGGCTGAGACGGGTGGCTCACCTGAGGTCAGGAGTTCGAGACCAGCCTGACCAACATGATGAAACTCCGTCTCTTAATAAAAACACGCCCGTAATCCCAGTACTTTGGAGGCCAAGGTGAGCGGATCACGAGGTCAGGAGATGGAGACCATCCTGGCTAACATGGTAGAACCCCGTCTCTACTAAAAATACAAAAAATATTAGCTGGGTGTGGTGGTGGGTGCCTGTAGTCCCAGCTACTCGGGAGGCTGAGGCAGGAGAATGGCGTGAACCCGGGAGGCGGAGCTTGCAGTGAGCTGAGATCCGGCCACTGCACTCCAGTCTGGGAGATAGAGTGAGACCCTGTCTCAAAAAAAAAAAAAAAAAAAAAAAAAAGCCAGGCGTGGTGGCGGGTACCTGTAATCCCAGCTACTCAGGAGGCTGAGTCAGAATTGCTTGAACCCAGGAGGTGGAGGTTGCAGTGAGCCAAGATCGCACCACTGCACTCCAGCCTGGGTGACAGAGCAAGACTACGTCTCCAAAAAAAAAAAAAAAAAAAAAAAAAAAAGAAGTGAGTGTTGAGCTGGAGTGAGGAGGAAATACTGAATTCCCAGGTCAGGAATTCCAGTTCCATTTTCACCAGGCACAGATATCCCAGCTCCTGAAAAAGGCCAAGACTGACGGTCTGGCACGGGGCAGGTGTAAGAAAGGACTGTTTTAAGAACCTTATTACACAAAGCTCTTATTTCTGGATCCACCACTGCTTACATTTGCACCCGGACACCACTTTGAGGTGCAAGAAGAAAGGTCAGGACATAGAGAAAAACGCACACAGAACGAGAGAGGATGAGGAGGGAGCAAGCCTGCATGAGCACGGCTGATGTCTCGGAAGCCACCAAAGGCACCCACCAGAGCCTTCCCCACCTGCCAAGCCCCTGCAGCACCCGGAGGGCAAGCCGGCTTCCTGAGGCCATGCGGAGTCCAGGGCAGAGGGGACAGTGGGAGGGGCTGCCTGTGGCAGTGGCTGTTCACATCAACAGCACTCAGCCGAGGCAGTGAGGATGAGGACGAGAGCCGGGGCAGCTGACTGGGCCCAGGATACAGCTCACAGGAGGGGCGTCTGCACACACCTTGCAACTGCAAGGCTTCTTCTCAAAGGCAAGTACACTTGGACAAACCAACACGAGGCTACTTACACAGGGTGAGAGAGTTCATAAATATTAATTAAGGATCTAAAACAAACTTCTTTCTCAAATAATTGAAATCTGAAAGCTTTTGGAAGCCAACTGTCCCTGAACAAAGTTTTACAATCGAGAAGTATCTCCTGTTCCTATTTTGTCAAGTTTCTTTGATGGCCGAACAAAAAGAAGCTTCAAGTAATGGAGAAGGCATCATCTGAGTGCAGCTGCTTTCCTGGCTGCCTGTGCCATTTCTGTCTTCCAAATCCTATGCTTGGAGGCCCCCGGAGGGACATTTTTGCCAGGAACCAACCTGACGTTAAAAAGATGAGTGTGACACAGCCGGCTGGGCAGGAGGGTGGAGGTGGCCACAGGAGTCTGCCCATGCCCTGGCCAGCGCGACTATGCTGCCAAGTGCTGAGAGGCCGCCCCACCCAGAGGGCACAGGGCAAACCCTAAGCACTGAGAGTTTTGCCCGTGAAGTCTCAGGGGATGCGCTGTGCCGCATCCTTGTGCCTCGTTGACCAGCCTGCTTGCTAAAGGAGCCCAGGGACCTGAGCCTGCAACACCGTGAGGGGTGAGAAGAGCATGCTGCTGTGGGTGCACCGGACTCAAACCTCACATCAGAAGTTACAAAGAACCCCAAATGCACTTCAGAGTCCCGCCAACCCCTGAGCCAGGCTCATCCCTGACACAGCGAACCCACTGCAGCCCCCGTGGCGCACACCCCAAGCACCACCCAAGGGAGCCCCATGGCCAGGGCTGTGTCAGTCACGCCACTTGGGGCAGAGACAGCTCTCGGGGCAGGCAGACCGGTGTGGGAAAATTCTATGCCAATCAACTGCTTAAATAATTGGGGAAAATACAAAGTCAAGAAAGGGCTCCGATACACAAGGGAAACCGCATGTGAGAACCGGCACTCCCAGCAGGGGCATGTCACTCTCCAGAGGCCATGGAGATGGCAGACACCTCTGTCTCCACAGTGACCCAGATCCAACTGAAAGTGTGCAGGAAGCCAGGTCTATTGACGCTGAAATCCAGAAATCAAGGTCCACAGGTGAATGGGGCATCTTCAGCCCTGAGGAGGCCAGGCTGTGTCTCCTGACGCCTCTGAGGGTGGGCACAGCAGCCAGCTCCCTGTGGGCAGAGTCCACGTGGTCCTTATTCCCCTCCCTGGGGACAGGGCAGCACAGTCAGACGCTGAGACGTGAGGCCACACACAGGGGGGCACCTTCCTGCCTTGGCCTAGCCCGACCGCCTCTGGAGTCAGGAGGCTGTGGCAGCCACACCACAGTGTGGCTCCAGACACGATTCTGTGGACGGATTCCAGGATTCCAGACAGATTAAATCTCCGTGGAATGATGAAAATTAAAATTTACTTGATTATGGAAGTCTCTGATTTATTCCAGCCAAAATATTAAATGAGCCACTAAGAATCACCACAAAGCAATCACCAGGGTGGCGGCACAGCAGAAGGACAGGTGCCCAGGCCGGTGGCTCTAGCTCTTCACCTCTGCGACCTCCTTCTCTGCCTTCTCTTTGGCCTTCTCCTTCTCCTCCACCTTCTCCTCTTTTTCCAGTGTTGCTACAATCTCGGCCACCTGGCTGGTGGAGATGTGAACATCTTCTTTGTCCACCAGCTCAATCACCTACACACATGGGAAAGGGAGAGGCTCAAGTGGCTGCACCCTGCAGCAGTGAGGCGGGGCGGGTGGCAGCAGCACGCATGCAACCGCTGCCTGTGGGCCCCGGGGTCCTCAGAGCACCAGTTCCCCCAAGGGGGGCCACAGGCCCTGGGGAAGGGGCTCAGAGAGTGGGAGGACAAAGGAGCCAGGGGGCTGCCTTGGCAGGTGGCAGACAGCACAATGGGGCTGCCAGGGTTAAGTTCCTGCTCTGGTCGGGAACTTGGGCCATGGCTTCTCAGGGCAGAGTATGGTGACATGCAGGGACTTTGTCCCCATTCTGCCACCCAGAGCAGCAGGGAAGGGAAGGGCAGCTGTGCAGTAGATATTGGATCCTTGCTTCCAAACTGAACTGCAAGGAACCAGCCAATGTTCCTGATAGACGTTTAGAAAATCACTAACCTGAACCAGCCAACGCTTGTGATAGATGTCTGGAAAATCACTAACCTGACACATACACTGGGAGCCACGAGGCAGCTTCCCCTCAGAGATGTCTGTGATTGGGAAAATTGGTGTCCACACTCAGGCTACAGCCCTGCCTTCCCTCCAGAGACTGGATCTTGGGCCAGGGTCTCCCGGGTTACCCTGGAACCTGAGTGGCTGCACTTGGGAGCTCAGCCCAGCAGTCAACTCTCAGCCTCGGCGGCCCCTGGCAGGTGTGAGCTGCCCCCCGGCTCCCGAATGCAGACGCCTCTCAGTCTCGGGGGTCCCCGGCTCCCCAATGCAGACGCCTCTCAGCCTCGGGTGTCCCCGACTTCCCTACGCAGACACCTCTCAGTCTCAGAGGTCCTTGGCTCCCCTATGCAGATGCCTCTCAGCCTCGTGGGACCCCAGCAGGTGTGAGCCGCCCCCCAGCTCCCTGTGCAGACGCCTCTCAGCCTTGGGGGACCCTGGCGGCTATGAGCCGCCACCCGGTTCCCTGTGCAGTTGCCTCTCAGCTTCAGGGGCTCCTGAGAGGTGTTTGCCGCCCCCCGGCCCCCACTGTGCCACCAGCTGGGGGTGGGGTCCAGGGAGGCGCGTTGTGGTCACTCAGCGCGTTTGTTGTCTCAACACTTGAGTTTGTAACTCCAGTAATTTCTCACTTCTGATGTTTCCAATGAGAGCAGTGGCTTAAAGGAGCAGTCGCAGTGACAGACCCAAACCCGACAGGAAGGGGTAGCTGCCCAGGAGGGTGCCGGGCATGCAATGAACAGTCCCCCTGCCCCGCCCACCCCAGAGCAGGTGGCAGCTGGCCCGCGCGGTCCGCAGTGAGGCCCACCTTGACCAGGTCGTCGATGTTGACCTTGCCGTCCTTGTTTTCATCCAGTGCTGCAGCCAGGCTGGTGAGCTTGCTTTCAGGAATGTGCTTGACTTGCTTCATGGCACTGATGAGCTCGGCGACACTGATGACGTTCTCCCTGTGGGAGCAGAGGCTGCATGTGGCCACGGGCAGGTGTCCTGCTACACGGGGCCTCACTGCCCACACCTGTGGCTGCAAGTGGTCAGCACTGACACAGGCAGCTCCACGTGAGCCAGGAAACCCCCAAGGCATGATCCCATCCTGAATACCCTGCCAAGAGCTCCCAGAGCCAGCCTGGACACAAACACAGAAACACCACCGGCTCCAGGGTTTCCGTGGGCATGTCTGCCCCTCAGCGGCCACCCCTCCGGGGCCATGGCTGCTGGGCAGTGGTCCTCAGGCCTGTGGCCACTTGGCAATACTTTCATGATCATGGAGGCTGTGGTGCTCTAGGCAGATGAGGGCCTCCAAGAGCAGGGACAAGAGCATGAGCAGGGTGCCACACGCAGCCCGCCTATAATGCTGTGGGGGTGGGGGTGGAGATTTGGAGCCTGCAGGGCACCAGCTGTTGCCCAACAGCTGTTTCATTCGCCCAGAAGGGACTCACACAATGGCAGCTCCCTCAGCCACTGCTGCAGCAATCTGGGACATGTCGGGCAAAGAGAAGGCCGACTGCTGGAATTGGTGTCATTACTGAGTGTGGGTGGGGTCAGGAAGAGGGAGAGGCAAGAGAGAGCCTGGTAATTCAAGGAAACAGAAGCCAAGAGAGGCAGAGGCTGGAACAGGAGGGGAGAGGGCTGTGGGAAGAGGAAGAGGGGCCAGGAAGGGAGGAACTGCTCTCAGAGAGGCAGAGACTGAGATGCCAGTGGGTCCCTGGCTGGGACTGCTGGGTCAAAGGAGGAGAGGCAGCTAGGCAGAGGCCAAGACGTGCCCTTTGGAGCCAGAAGGGCCCAGCTTGGATCCAGCAAAGGGACCAGGCATCCTGCGTGAGTCTCCCATCCCTCTCCCACGCCCGCCACCTCACTCACCCCGTGGGCATGCCGCTGGCCGGGGACAGCTTGCCAGCTTGCTGGTCCATCTCCAGCTGCGAGATCAAGCCGTCAATCTGCCCGATCATCTGCTGCACCCTTTTTGTCAGTCTCTTGCTGGCTTTAGATTCTTCCACATACTTTTCTTCACCAGTCTTTGAAAGCTCCTTCTTGATCTCCTGCAAGTCCTAATAAAATTATTTTAGTTGTAAAAAGTTTGTCTTAAAAGAAAAAGGGGGCCGGGTGCAGTGGCTCACGCCTGTAATCCCAGTACTTTGGGAGGCCAAGGCGGGCAGATCACCTGAGGTCAGGAGTTCAAGACCAGCCTGGCCAACGTGGTGAAACCCCGTCTCTACTAAAAATACAAAAATTAGCTGGGCATGGTGGCAGGCGTCTGTAATCCCACTTACTCAGGAGGCTGAGGCAGGAGAATCGCTTGAACCCAGGAGGCAGAGGCTGCAGTGAGCTAAGACCACGCCAACGCACTCCAGCCTGGGCAACAGAGCGAGACTCTGTCTCAAAAAAAAAAAAAAAAAAAAAAAAAGAAAGAAAAAAAGGAATCTGGTTTGGCACAGTGGCTCATGCCTGTAATCCCAGCACTTTGGGAAGCCAAGGCAGGAGGATCACTTGAGGACAGGAGTTCGAAACCAGCCCAGGCAACATAGCGAGACCTTATCTCTACTAAAATTCAAACAAAAAATTAGCCAGGTGTGGTGGTACACACCTGTAGTCCCAGCTACCCAGGAGTATGAGACAGGAGGATTGCTTGAGTCCGGGAGGTCGAGGCTGCAGTGAGCCAAGATCACACCACTGCACTCCAGCTTGGGTGACAGAGCGAGACCCTATCTCAAATAAATAAAAAAAAAAAAGCTAATAAATTAACTTGTAAAGGTAATTAAATCCATTAATTCAAACCAGAGAAAGTTACAAACTGTATTTCTATCATACAAATTTCTTATTTTTGTACACTGCCTTTTTAGCAAAAGATACAGAATCTACTCTGAATCTCAATTTCCTTCACATTTGTTAAAGAAAAATTAAGTGAACGAATTAATCAAGGAAATTAAGTGTCTTTTTTTTTGAGATAGGGTCTTGCTCTGTTGCCCAGGCTGAAGTGAAGTGGCATGATCTCAGCTCACTGCAGCCTCCAACTCCCAGCCTCCGACTCCCAAGTGATCCTCCTGCCTCAGACTCCGGAGTAGCTGGGAGTACAGGCACACGCCATCATGCCTGGCTAATTTTTGTATTTTTTGCAGAAATGGGGTTGCACCATGTTGCCCAGGATGGTCTCAAACTCCTGAGCTCAAGTGATCCTCCTGCCTTGACCTCCCAAAGTGCTGGGATTACAGGCCTGAGCCGCCAGTGCCCAGCTTTAAGTGTCTTTTTAAATTCGAAGTTGTTTTTTTCCCCACGAATAAACATCATGGGGAGGCGAGGAGAGGGGAGGGAAGGAACAAGCTGAGCTGGTGATAAGCACCTCACATCCAGTGGAGAACCCACAAGGCATGAGGCTGTCATAAATCCAGAAATGGCAAATTATTTTTGCCAACTGAAAAATCAGTCATCACTACCAACAGAGCTATGAAAACAGTTTTAAAAAAATCGTATTAGGGGCCAGTCGTGGTGGCTCACGCCTGTAATCCCAGCACTTTGGGAGGCTGAGGCGGGTGGATCACGAGGTCAGGAGATCGAGACCATCCTGGGTAACACAGTGAAACCCCGTCTCTACTAAAAATACAAAAAATTAGCTAGGCGTGGTGGTGGGTGCCTATAGTCCCAGCTACTCAGGAGGCTAAGGCAGAAGAATCACTGGAACCCAGGAGGCGGAGGTTGCAGTGAGCCACCGAGATCACGCCACTGCACTCCAGCCTGGGCAACAGAGCTAGACTTCATCTCAAAAAAAAAAAAAAAAAAGGAAAGAAAAATCGTATTAGGAAGCTGTGGCACAAAAAAAGAAAGAAAAAAATGCCATGGAAGAAAAAAAAAAAAAATATTAGGAAGAAAAAATATAAAAAAAAAAAAAAAAAAAGAAAGAAAAAAATCACCATGGAAGAAAAGAAAAGCCACTTTTACATAATCATGAATAAGAGTTCATCATCAAGTGACCAAACTCTTCATGAGACACCTTCCCATGTTTAGAGACTAAAAGACGTGGCCAGGCACGGCGGCTCACACCTGTAATCCCAGCACTTTGGGAGGGCGATGCAGGTGGATCACTTGAGGCCAGGAATTCGAGATGAGCCTGGTCAACATGGTGAAATCCTGTCTCTACTAAAAATACAAAAACTTGAGCTGGGCGTGGTGGCACATGTTTGTCATCTCATCTACTCGGGAGGCTGAGGCACAAGACTGCTTGAACCCAGGAGGTGGAGGTTGCAGTGAGCTGAAATTGTGCCACTGCACTCCAGCCTGAGCAACAGAGCAAGACCTTCTCTCAAAAAAAAAAGGTGCACATGCATCTGTGGCCAGAATGGCACACAGCCACATTCTAGAAGATTGGTCCAGCCAGAATGGCTATGGAAAAGTTACTGTATAAGGTTTATTTATAATTTGCTTTCCTCTCCAAATACTCTCTGGCCAGCTTATCAAGTATCTGACGGAAGTATTATGTAATACTTTTGGGGTCAGTACAGCGATTTTACTCTTCTTGCAGTCTCAGAGTCCAGGGAGCAAATCCCACCCACCTCGCTGTAGTCCTGCATGTCCTCCTTCAGCAGCTCCAGCTCCTCCTTCTCCTTGGTGAGTGACTTCTTCTGTTCCTGCAGCTTAGAGCAGGCATCGCTGAGGATGTCAATTTCCTCCTTAGTGATCTGTTCCTCCTGAGATAAAAATGGTCAAATAATAAAGCCTGAGCCAAGGGAAAGAACTGGCCTGTTCCCAAGTGACCGGCTGCTCTGTTCATATTATATGGACAGCCCAGGGCAAGAGTCTCACTGGACACTCATTGGTAACAAGAGACCAGCAGGGTTCAGGTTCAGTGCTGTGCTGGCTGCATGCATGCAGTCACCGTCTGCCCTTGTATGCCGAACCGCATTTGTTTAAAGCGTGTCATCTATGAATTGACACGTGTACTGTGAAACCTTCACTACAGTCAAAGAGTCACCTCCAAATGCATCTTCATGTCCCCACTGGGACCTGCCGCCCACCCCTGGCAACCTCACGTCCACCTCCTGCCACGGCAGACTTGGGTGCGTTTTTTAGCATCTGAAATAGACGGATCAGCCAGTGCACGCTCTTTTTTTGTCTGGTTTCTCTCCCTCACTTATTCTGAGATTTGCTCCTGTGGTCGTGTGTTCCTTGTTGTTTTTTGAGACAGGGTCTCTGTTGCCCAGGCTGGGGTGCAGTGGTGCAATCATGGCTTGCTGCAGCCTTGATCGCCCAAGCTCAAGCAGTCTCCTGCCTCAGCCACCCTAGGAGCTGGGACTAGGGGCACACATTGACATGTCTGGCCAACTTTTAATGTTTTGTAAAGACGGGGTCTCACTATGTTGCCCAGGCTGGTCTCAAACTCCTGGGCTCAGATGATCCTCCCACCTCGGCCCCCCACAGTGCTGGTATCACAGGTGTGGGCCCCACACCCAGCCCCTCTGTTGGGTTTTTCTTTCCCTCAGCAACATTTTACAGCACTTCGTGGACAGCACTTGCATATCTTTTTCCAAATTTATCCCTAAGTAGTTCATTTCGGGGGGTGCCATACCGTTCAAACCTTCTCTGACTACTCATTACCATAGTGAAGCACAATTGATGTTCACACCATTTGTAAATAAAGAGTTTTCCTTTTTCCTTTCTGATCTATATGGTTTTGTTTTCTGTATCCGACTGCCCTGACTGAAACCCCCAGGCTGCTGCTGAGCTCTCAGACACCAGCTGATGCTGAGCTGAGGACAGACACCCTCATCAGCGTCTCACCACTGAGGGTGATGGCAGCTAGAGGTGTTTCTGCAGATGCTTCTGACTGGGCTGAGAAAGCTGCCCACGTGTGCAGGACGTCTGTGTATCAGGAACGGATACTGGGTTCTGCCATATGCTCTTTCCGCAGCTACCGAGATAAAACATTCCTGGTTTTTCTAATTTAGCCGTTTTTTTCTTTTTTTTTTTTGAGACAGAGTCTCGCTCTGTCGCCCAGGCTGGAGTGCAGTGGCGTGATCTCGGCTCACTGCAAGCTCCGCCTCCCGGGTTCACGCCATTCTCCTGCCTCAGCCTCCCAAGTAGCTGGGACTACAGGCGCCCGCCACCGCGCCCAGCTAATTTTTTATATTTTTAGTAGAGACGGGGTTTCACCGTGTTAGCCAGGATGGTCTCCATCTCCTGACCTCATGATCCACCTGCCTCGGCCTCCCAAAGTGCTGGGATTACAGGCGTGAGCCATCGCGCCTGGTCAATTTAGTCTGTTAATATGGAAATTACATTTTAAAAAATTTTGGCCAGACGCAGTCTCTCAAGCCTGTAAACTCAGCACTTAGGGAGGCTGAGGTGGGAGGATCGCCTGAGGCCAGGAGTTCGAGACCAGCCAGGCCAACATGGTGAAATCCCATCTCTACTAAAAATACAAAAATTAGCCAGGTGTGGTGGTGGGCACCTATAATCCCAGCTATTCAGGAGGCTGAGGTAGGAGAATCACTTGAGCCTGGGAGGTCAAGGCTTCAGTGAGCCGAGGTCACGTCTCTGCACTCCAGACTGGGCAAGAGAGTGAGATCCCATTTCAAAAAAAAAAAAAAAAAATTCAAGCCAATTTGTATTTTTTGGACAAATCCCATGTAATCATGATTCTTTTTACATAATAGTTCTATTTGATTTGCTAAAAAGTTTAATTTTTTTTTTTTTTTGAGACAGAGTCTCATTCTGTTGCTCAGGCTGTAGTGCAGTGGCGCAATCTCTGCTCACTGCAAGTTCCACCTCCCAGGTTCACGCCATTCTCCTGCCTCAGCCTCCTGAGTAGCTGGGACTACAGGCGCATGCCACCATGTCTGGCTGATTTTTTGTATTTTTAGTAGAGACAGGGTTTCACCATGTTAGCCAGGATGGTCTCAATCTCCTGACCCCATGATCCACCCACCTCGGCCTCTCAAAGTGTTGGGATTACAGGTGTGAGCCACTGCGCCTGGCCCCAAAATTTTTTTTATGGCTGGGCACGGTGGCTCACCCCTGTAATCTTAGCATTTTGGGAGGCTGTGGCGGGAAGATCACTTGAGGTCAGGCGTTTGAGACCAGCCTGGCCAACATGGTGAAATCCCGTCTCTACTAAAAATACAAACATTAGCCAGGTCTGGTGGTGTACGGCTGTACTCCCAGTTACTTGGAAGGCTGAGGCAGAAGAGTCGCTTGAACCTGGGAGGCAGAGGCTGCAGTGAGCCGAGATGGCGTCACTGCCCTCCAGCCTGCGAGTTTAAGATGGAAGGCACCAGGAGGCATCCCATGTAGGCAACACAGGTGCCTGGAGGCTGCACCTCACAGGCTGGCATGGGGAGTCTGAAGATGCCGCAAGCCCAGATCACCCCACAGGAGGTGATAGCAGGTGGGCCTGTGGAGGAGGCTTCACCTTGAGGGGCCACATTGCCCTCCATTGTCTGGGCAAGGTGACAAAGGGCCCTGAAACCTGCCGACTGGCATCTCTACCTGCCACACTGTGGGCCAGGGTGCCAAGTTCCTGGCAGCCTCAGCTGTCGTGCACCCAGGCACAGTGCGGAGCCCAGCCGGACTCACTCTCTTCCCAACCACCAAGCCTCCCAGGGGCCCACTGGCCTCATCCTCAACCCCTTGCACCATCTCCTCTCACTGAGGGCTATAGGTGCCCCAGCTAACCTGTCCCCATCCCTGCCCCACAACTGTCCACAAAGCCAGGCCACGCCCTCCTCAGCCTCCAGTGCCCCAGAACCTGCCTCGTTACCTTCAAGTCCCCCAGCACCGGGGCAGTGTCCTTCAGGGTCTCTGACCGCAGGACTGTGTCAGACACTTCTGGCTGCAGCTCAGCCCCTAGCCTTTGGGGAACGGCTACCACACGTTCGGGCTCAACATCCTTCTGAAAGGCAAGGCGACACCGGCCCGGCGCCCGCCGTCACACAGAAGCAGGCTTCTCAATCCCCGATGCTCAGAATGGATGGCAGAGGCCACACTGGGAGCAGGCCTGCCAGTGACAGTGGGCAGCACACCTGCCACAGGAGGTCCCTAGGGAGGCTCCATGCAGCTGCCAGGTCACCTGGGGCCCTCTCTGGAACAGGCTAGAGCACCTCACCCACCTCTGGTCTCCCCATGACTCCACCAAGCTGTCCTGTCACTTGCAGAGCAGGAGGCTGAGCCTGTGGGTGGGCACGATGCATGTGACCCAAGAGGACCACAGGGTCCGCGCTGAAGAGGAGCCCAGAGCCTGGGGGAGTCTGAGGCTCCTCTGCCAGCGCCCCTCACAGCAAGTCCCTGAGGAGAGAGTGGGCACTGCTGTGTGCTCAGCTTGCCCCTCTGAGACGGCTAAGGTACATCTCCCATGAGCACCACCGTGGCCATCAGGGAGTCCCAAAGTCAGAGTTGCAGCCCCCACACCCGGGCACCCTGTCTCCCTGACCACTCCAGGGGGAAATAAAAATGCAGGACAGAGCTATAGGGCCATGCACGTGGGGGGCCAAGCACACGGGAGGCCAAGACTGTGGGCTTGTGGGGTTTCTAGGGAGGCTGGGTCAGGACAGCCTCATGCCCCACGGAGCAGGGCCACCGCTTACCGCCACCTCCGAGAGTTTCTGCAGCTCCTTCTCGCGGTGCTCCTGCTGGATGGCCGCCTCCTCTTGCAGCGTGGCCTCCAGCTTGGCCTTGTTGTCCACCTGCTCGCCCTCCACCTCGGCTGCTTTCACCTGCGCTTCCTTTGCCTTCAGAAGAGGGTACACCTGTGAGTGAGCCCCAGAAACTGCCAGAGGCCCCTGCTGCCCCTAACCTCTGTCCTCTGCCCCTGTCACCAGCTGGGCTTCACACACAGGACAGAAAGCACTGCCGAGGTGCTGCCTGCAATTGCTGGGAGTCCTCTGGGCCACCCTTTGTGCTCGCCCGGCGACTCCTGACGTGCAGGGAAGGAGCACAGGCGCTGCTGACACAGTTCCAAGGGCCGCAGCACAGATCCACAGCAGCCAACATGTGGCCAGGTCAGGACCACACGGGGGATGGCAGGCTAGGGGCCGGTGAAGAGGGATGGAAGGAAGGGGACAGGTGGCTGGGTGGGGGCAATAGCAAGGGGGTAGAGGGGAGGTTGTATGGGTGGGGGGGCTCCTTGCCCATGGTTGAGGAATGAGTGCTCTTGCACGCCTCCCCCGACCACAGAAAAGCCACCCCAGAAGAGCGGGGCCAGCTATGAAGAGATGAGGTAAAAGGGGTCTCCGACAGCACATACCACAATCTCTGGGAGGGTCTGCAGTGTGGACTTGAGCTGGTCGGCTGGAGAGAGGGTGTCCGGGAGGTACATGGCCCGGGACAGGATGAGCAGTGATGTGGGGATTTCCTGATGTAGGTGCAGGTCCAGCCACTGCAACCAAAGCCACATTCAGCAGACGGGCAGCCCCTCAACCCCACCGCCAACACAGCATGTCAACCCATCTCATCACCAGAAGAGCCCTCAGAGAAGATGGTGTCTCAAGTTCTAAAAGGTCTATTTGTTGCTCTGCTGTGTGACCCGATGACGGCCTTAGTAAACAAAACACCAGAGAGGTTCAGGGGTCAACAGCCCCCACAGCGAGGACCCCAAGGGCCTCAGAACAGGGCACCAACTCTCCACTTAAAAACACCCCAGGGGCTGGGCACCTATAATCCCAGCACTTTGGGAGACCCAAGTGGGCGGATCACCTGAGGTCAGAAGTTAGAGACCAGCCTGGCCAACATGGCGAGACCCCATCTCTACTAAAAATACAAAAACTAGCCAGGCATTGTGGGGCGCGCTTGTAGTCCCAGCTACTTGGGTGGCTGAGGCACAAAAATTGCTTGAACCAGGGAGGCAGAGATTTTATCGAGCTGAAATCGCGCCACTGCACTCCAGCCTGTGTGACAGAGCAAGACTCTGTCTCAAACAAAGAAAACCAGCCCAGGTCAACATATAATGGCCCCGCAGAGGCAGTGCCACTGAGGCCGGTCAGCACTCAGGCCCCCACAGGCTCTGCACAGACCAGGTTCTGGGACTGGCTGCTTGAGTGACACCAAGACAATCTCCAAATGGGCAAGAAAGACCGTGACAATGTTTGGAGACAAACTGAACATGGGGCAAAACAGAGAACAAACCCTAAGAGAAGAAAGGCAACGCTGAGAGGTGGGTAGAGAAGGAAAGTGTAAACACATGACACTCGGGCCCCCAATGCACCACACTTCCCTGGGGGCTGAGGGGCTTGGGCAGGGACGGCATCTGCCCCCCTGCTCAGATGCCCCTGTGTGTGCGGCCCATGTCCCCACGGAGCTCCAGAAGGCTGGGCAGAGTGCTAGGGAGGTTAGCACCCATGCCAGACACAGAGAAGGCTCTGCTGGGGAATCGATGGAAGATGCAGCTGTGGAAGGCAGGGGGTGCCACAGGATCACACCATAAATACTGTCTGTGTCGAGAGGGGAAGTGTGTTCACACACCTTCATCTACACTTGCAGGTTGTGTGAAAAACCCGGCAGGAGGTTGACGACCAACAAGGGCATGCCAGTGCCAGGGCACTGGGAGGAAACTGGCTGGAGCCCTGCACCCCTTAACCTTTCCATGTAAGAGTGAGTGGCCGGGGTCACCCCTGCCCAACCTACAAGCCACTTGATCTGACGGCATTGGGAACAGGCACCTGCGTAGGGCACGGCCAAGAGAGGGGGCAGCTCCAGACGTCAGACCACGCCATGCCACCCAAACCTTCCATGGCCCCAGTTCAGAAAGAATCAAAATGTGAACATGTCTGACATCTCAGAGGTGAACTCTAGTCCTCATCTGACTACAGATAACCAAAATAGTAAGTTACTAAGGTCTTTAAAATCAACTAAAAGCAAACAAGAAAAAATCAAAGCAATATTCAAAAGGCAATGAAAAGCGAAAATGCAGGGGTGTGAATGTGATAAGACCAGAAGGGCGAGAAACAGCCCAAACATCCTAGCCGTCCCCAGAGAGGTCACAGTGTCGCCTCGCCAGGCCCGCCCAGAGTTTGAGAAAAGCCTCCAAGTGGCCTTTCAAGGCTGACTTTTCCCTCGAGCCAATGCTGGCCTGGCATAAGGCGAGTATTCACGCACCTGCTTCAGCTGGCCCCTCAAGCGGTCTTCCGTGACGCCCAGGGCCCGCATGCCTCGTGCCCGACAAGCCGCCTGCAGCTCCTTGACGTTCAGGCTGTCCACCCCTTCCTCAGCAATCAGCTAGAAAACAAAGCAGTGAATTATCATCCGGGACAGCTGCTGGTGGGTCACCGTGTCTATGTGAACACCCTCCAGAGTAAGTGGCTAATAGGTTTTGCCAAGCAAGAATCAAACCACTGCCACCAAAGCCCAGTTCTAGGTTTGAAGTGGCTGGAACCCTGTGATGGAGGGTCAGGATCTTGGGAAATGCAGAACGGCTACGACCAATCCCCTGAGACAAAGAAGTCCACCTCCATCCCTCTGTCCTGATGGCAGAACCAGCCCCACCCTGGCTACTCCTGTCACCTAATGTTTCTCCTGATCCCCACAGTCCACCATCTGCCAAAGTGTGCCCAGGATGGAAAAGAAAGAGGGACAGAAGGAGAGGGAACCAGATACTCTGAAGATACATCCTGACCCCATACCCAAAGCGCCCCTCTCTTCTGCTCAGCCCAAGGTCACTGTGACCCCAACTGGAAAAGCAAACAGGAGTCCCAGAGATAGAGGACACCAAGGCATACAGGGAGCAACAGGTGAAGAGAGACATGGAGAAGTAATGACAGCCACCGCTAGGTAGATGCTGGCAACATCTTGACATAACTGTGGACACACATCCAGTTTTAACAAGTAACAGAGCTCCTGTGCATAAGATGCCTCCCCTAGTGTAAAGTCTCACCAGCAGCACTGCAGTGAGCACATGCCACCCACCCAGTCGAGACAGAGGCCACCTTCCCCAGCTCCCGGTGCTGCCCGTTCAGACACGCTTGTCTCCACGTCTGCAGCTGTCACCTGGAGTGCTCTCTGAGCAGGACCATGCAGGACACCACCTCTGGGGTTCCCTGAGGACCCACTGGGGGTGCTGTGGCTGTGCCGGGTTAGGCCCCTCACTGCCACACAGCATTCCACGGCACGCGTGCCCTCCTTAGCCAAACCCTTCGCCCACCGAGCTGGGCTCCTCCGGTTGATCAGCAATGAAGCTCTTTCTGCTTTCTCCTCCCTGTCCTCCTGTGGGCTGGCTGACCTCTGTTAGATTTCGCTCTGGGGGTCTGAGTCTCTGTGCAGCATTTTTAGCGTTGCTCTGCGGATCGCGACACACAATCCACGCGCGCAGCTCACCGTAGTGCGGTGGGGTTGGCACTCCCCCACGAAGGCAAGCACTGAAGCCTCCCCCTCCATCTGTTCTCAGCTGTTGCCTCCACCGCATCGTCACCTCCACCCCACCACGGAGCACGTCCCTCAGCCCCGCTTGCTACAGAAGGTGCAGGGAGAGCGCAGCCCGCTGTGTCAACCCTCACTCTGGTTGCTGGGAACTCTTCCTGCTGCCACGAGGTACTTTCTCTTACTGTTTCCTCTCTGGTCAAGGAGCTTCCCTCAGCCCTTCCTTTAGGGGAGGTCTGCTGGTGACAGCTTCCTTCCCTCTGATACTGCCTTGGCTCCCCGTCATCGCTATATTTTTGCTGGTGATAGATCCTGGGTTGACAGTTCTTTTGAATTAAAATTGAAAAATAATTTTTTCAATTGAAAAATAATGCTCCACGTCCTGTGGTCTCCACGGTTCCTGGAGAAATCCATTGTCATTCAACTTTTCCCCTAATAGTAAAGATGCCGTTCTTGGCCAGGCACAGTGGCTCACGCCTGTAATCCCAACATTTTGGGAGGCCGAGGTGGGAGAATCACTTGAGCCCAGGAGTTTCAGACCAGCTTGGGCAGCATAATAGTAAGACCTCATCTCTACAAGAAAAATAAACAAAACTAGTCGGTGTAGTGGCGCACACCTGTGGTCCTAGCTACTCGGGGGACTGAGGTGGGAGGATGGCTTGGTTCTGGGAGGTCAAGGCTACAGTGAGTTGAGATTGTGCCACTGGACTGCACTCTAGCCAGGGCAACAGAACAAGACACCATCTCCCCCAAAACCCAAAAAAAGACCTGGCATTCATAAATGAAACAACAACCACACACACACACACACACGTGTGCGTGCGCACACATACACAGACACACACACACACACACACACGATGCCTTTTTCTCTTTGTCTTAAAACTATTGTCTTCAGGTTCATTAGTTTGACTCTGATGTGACTTGGTGTGAATTTTTTTGGATTTATCTTATTCAGGGTTCACTCAGCTTCTGACATTTGCAGATTTACATCTTTAACTGAGCCTGGGAAGTTTTCAGTCAGCCATTATTTCTTGAGGTACTCTTTCAGCCCTGCTCTATCCTTTCTCCCCCGGAACACCAGATAACACAGATGGTCAACACTTGCTACAGCACAGGCTGTGGGGCTCTGTTCAACGTTTTCTACTATTTTCTCTCTGTTGTTCAAATGGGTAATTTCTATCATTTTATCTTAAAGTTTACTCGTTCTGTATTTTATCTTCTCCATTCTGCTGTTGATCCCACCCAGGTTTTGACTTTGGATACTGTATTTTTCATTTGGTTCTTCTTTTTTAATTTTTTTTTTTTTTTTTAAGAGACAGAGTCTCCCTCTGTTGCCCAGGCTGGAGTGCAGTGACACAATCATGACTCACTGCAAGCTCAATCTCCCAAGCTCAAGCAATCCTCCCGCCTCAGCCTCCTGAGTAGCTAGAGCTACAGGCACAAGTCATCATGCCCAGCTAATTTTTAAATTTTTTTTGTAGAGGTGGGGGTCTCACTATGTTGCCCAGGCAGGTCTCAAACTACCGGGCTCAAGGAATCCTCCCACCTTGGCCTTCCAGAGTGCTGGGATTATAGATGTGAGCCACTGCACCTGGCCTTAGTATCTTCTCTAAATATCTTCTAATATTAATATTTAATAATATCTTTTCTTCTCTTTCTTTGCCAAGATCTATTTTTCAAGTGTTTTACTCTGTTGTGGCTTTTGTAGCTTTGCACTGGTGGCTGTTTGAGGCCCAGGTGCAGGGTCTCTAACTGTCATCTCAGGGTTGGTACCAGGCGTTGCCTTTTCTCATTCACTGATACCTTCCTGCTTCTTGAATCTAGATCTGACTTCCAGTTTGTCGCAGCTGACCTCCTCTGGTGCATGGTGGCATGGGCGGTGGGTATTCTAATTTGCACAGAGTTTGCAATTGATGATCTGGCATCTACTAATCCCAGGGCCAAGCTAACAAGGCCAAAGCTGTTTCCACCTCCCTGTGGTCCAGCTTTCAAGCACCAACCACAAACCCCAACGTCTGTGTTTCCCTTCCTGCCCAGTCAGACATGTCTCCACCTGCTGCACACAAGGCAGGCAGGCATCGTCCCCCTGAGCTTACTGCTCCCCATGCGTGTGGAGGCTTTGTGGGGCCAAGTGACAGGGAAGCTGTGGGTAACACATTTCTCCCAATGGCACTGACCTCTCCATGTTGTCACTCATTCACATCCATAAGCTAAATCCTAGGCATATTTCAGAAATGGTGGGAGCGCTGCCTCGGAAGAAGTGCAGGCTCCCCACCCAGCCTCCACAGACATCCGCAGGAGAGCGGTGCTGCTTGCTACCGCTGGGAGCGGGTGTGTGGGAGTTCCAGCTCTCACAGGTGCCTCTCCCAGCAGGAGGGCAGAAGCATCTCAGTACTGTCTCCCACCTGGCTCCCACTGGCACAATGATAGACATGGCCTTGTTCCTGCTGGGCAGTGGTCAAAGTCCCAACTCTCTGCTGGGTCCCCAAGGCCACCCCAGCGGTGGGGAAGTGTGGCGGACACACTATCAGATGAGAGGAAAGCTCAAGCCCCCGACGTGGTCTCCACTGACACTACAGGGGCTGGCCCCCCTCAGCCTTCTCTGACACCATCCCCGCCAGGGGTAGGGTGCCTGCTGTGTCCCAGCAAGGGCAGGATACAGGCTTCCCACATGGCCTTGCCTTGATTCGTAGAAATGACTGGCCCTCAACCTGCTCACCAGAGATGCAGGCATTCCCTTCCTGGAAGAGGCCAACACTGCCCTGAACCTCTTTATCTTCCATAGACAACGCTTGCATCCAGGAAAAACGAAACACTGCAAACAAAATCAAAAGGGAAAGCAAAAGAAAAAGGCCTACGGATAACCCAGTTATTAGAGTAATCAATGTGAACTAGAGTTAGCGCGTTCAAGACGACAAATGACAAAACGAACAGTTTTACCTGAGAACTGAAATCTTAAATTAAGAGCTCCTAATATGAATAAAAGAGTAATCAGCTGGGCACAGTGGCTCACACCTGTAATCCCAGCACTTTGGGAGGCCAAGCTGGGCAAATCACTTGAGGTCCAGAGTTCGAGGCCAGCCTGGCCAACGCGGTGAAACCCTGTCTCTACCAAAAAATACAAAAAATAGTCGGGCATGGTGGCGGGTGCCTGTAATCCTCGCTACTCCAGAGGCTGAAGCAGCAGAATTGCTTGAACCCAGGAGGTGGAGGTTGTAGTGAGTTGAGATCTCGCACTGCACTCCAGCCTGGGCAACAAGATTGAAACTCCGTCTCAAAAAAAAAAAAAAAAAAAAAGGAGTAATCAGACCCAGAAGGAGGGCAGCGCCCTGAAAGCACAAAAGGGCGTGAAACACAGTCAAGCGCGTGCGATGGACGGGACAGGGCAAAGGGGCAAACGGACCCTCGATGAGGCCCCTCATGGGAGGAGAGAGGCACGGAGGCGCCGTCATCAATAAGCAGGACGAACACAAAGACAGACACACCTAAGCAAGTTATTGTAAAATGGATGAAATCCAAACACAGAGAGATCATCCGAGAAGCTGCCAGAGAAAAGACATCCATCTTCAAAGGATCTGCAATCTGCAAGTGGCAAGACTCCTAGTGAGCTTATTTTCCATTGTTCAGCATCTTCCAGAGTCTCTACAATGAGGACATGCTGCTTTTGTCATCAGGAAAAAAAAAAAAGGTAAAACACCATAGCTGTGGCGCAGTGTGGCTGGCTTACCTTGTCGTCTGCTTTTATGGAGCGCAGCCGCATGGTGAGCTGGAAGCGCAGGAAGTTGTTGGTGCCGATGGACTGTAGCTCCAGCAGCTTGCATAGGGCCACCAGCTGCGGCCGCGTCAGGTTGTCCAGGGTAAGCTCATCCTCAAATAATTTGGAAAAACGCATGATTTCCTCATTGCTGGGCCTCTCCCCCGTCTCCCGGATCTGCGGAAGTGGTCACAAGGGTCATCCCTGGGGTACGTGCCCACCCAGCTCCCACGACCAATCACATTCCCAAAAGGTGCTGCCTCTCATCCTCAGGGACTCAAACTACTGACTTCTTTTTTTTTTTTTTTTTTTTTTTTGGAGACAGGGTCTCGCTCTGTCGCCCAGGCTGGAATGTAGTGGTGTAATCTCGGTTCACTGTAACCTCCGCCTCCTGGGTTCAAGCGATTCTCCTGCCTTAGCCTCCCGAGTAGCTGGGATTACAGGCTGCGCCACCACACCCAGCTAATTTTTGTATTTTAGTAGAGACAGGATTTCACCATGTTGGCCAGGCTGGTCTCAAATGATCTGCCCGGCTCAGCCTCAAACCACTGACTTCTGACTCAAGTGCTGGGCTAGCCTGGGGAGAGGTGGTGTCTGGCCTCTGGACCTGCCCTGCTTGAGCCAGTAAAGCTGAGGCTGCCATCTGCTGGGGGAGAGGCCCGGGCCTACCGGCTGCTGCATGCAGGTCCTGTGATCCTCTCTCTGCCACAAAAGTGGCTGGGACCCTGCTGCTCTGGGGCAGGAAGAGGTGCACCCGTATGCACCCACATCTCCCACAGATGACTGCCTGAGCCTTGGGGGAGGGGTGTGCCATCTAGCTCTTTAGGGAGAGCTAGATTCCCTTAGCACAGATCACTCAGAGCCCTTTGGGTGACCCTCTGTGGTTCCCCCCACCTGAGGGACAAGCCACCAGATCAGTCTCTGCCAAGAGCTGGGTTAGGAGGGTCCCTAGCAGAGAGGACAGACGAGGGAGGACGAGCCTGACTTGGTGCCCAGCTCAAATCGTAACATGCAGGATGCCAGCTCCAAGACACGGTTTCAGGTGTGCTCCTGGGGGCCGCCCTACGCAGCACACCAAAATGCGGGTGACCGCAAGCACATCCTTCTTGGCAGCTCGGCAGCCCAGGAAAGGTTGGGACGAGCCCCTCCTCCCGCTCTGCAAGGTGCAATATCCTGGGCAAGGCTCCCAAAGCATGGCTCCCCCTAGAACATCTTGCTGGAACCACCACCCACTCCTTGGGGGCTCAGCAGCCCCATGGCCATGCCGCCTCCTTCCAAGAGGCTTCTCTGTGGTTGGGCCTTGGCCTGGCAGTCTTTTCTGTCAAGGGTCAGACAGCAAGTATTTCTGGCTTTGCAGCCATGGAAACCACTCGCCTCTGTGCTGCAGTGGGAAAACCCCACAGACAAGGAACACGCATGGCTGGAGTTTCTAGCCCCAGGTTTAAGCTCTTCCTGCACTTCAGACATCCTTCTGACTCCAAAGTGTCCCAAGTCCCTCAAGTCAATGACACTGGCCTCGTCAGCCCCATCTAGTCCTCAGGGATCTCGTCCATGGCACCCACCCTCTCCCCCATCCTCACCTCACTGGCCACATGACCACAGGAAACCTCGAGGGCTGCTCCTCCTCTAGAGCCCCCACTGCTCCCACAGTCCAGGCCTCTGACCAGCCCCTGGGACCTGGGACCTTCTTGACTGAGTCTAGCCAGAGGGCAGTGCCCAGCAGAGGAGCCCGGCCAAGCCACCCACACCTCACAACATCAGGGTCTCGGGCCCCTCATGGGTCAGATTCTACTGTGCCTGGAGGACTGCAGGGTGATGAGACACAGACACCCGTGATTCTGAAGGCTGACGAGAAGCAGCCACCACAGCTCAACTCACTGGGAGCTCAGGGGGGCCAGACTCCTGACACTCCACTGGCCCCCAACTGAGCCTCCAGGGTAAAGTCTCAAGCGCCAGCCAGCCACCTGGGGGAGCTCCACTCTGCTGAGCACAGCGAAGGGGAAACAGAAAAGCAAGGAAGGCTCCCTGGTGAGGTCACAGGGACTCAGACGCATCACAGCACCTTCTGGAAAAATACAGAGAAGTCTTTGGTGGCGCTGCCCTTGGCTGCCTTGTTCTTCAAGGCCATCTCTTCGATGGTGTCCTGGAGGAACTTGGCCAGCTCCAGCTTGACCCGAAGCTCCTTCTTCAGTCTCTCCTCCTGCAAGGGCAGAGAGGGCACTGCACTCCAGGCCCCGGCCTCTCCTGCCGGCACCTAGACCCTGGGGCCTCCTGGAGGGTGGGCTCAGGAGTGCACTCCAACTGCTCAGACTGTGGTTTGGGCAAGGAAAACATCTCACGTTTGTGCCCAACCCCCACCCCCAGAAACATTTCACAAAACACTGACTCATATAAGTGCAATACATTCTCAAACCCTTTTATTTCATGGTTTTAAAAAATACCCCTGTGGGCCAGGCACGGTGGCTTATGCCTGTAATCCCAGCACTTTGGGAGGTCAAGGTGGGTGGATCACCTGAGGTCAGGAGTTCGAGACCAGCCTGGCCAACATGGCGAAACCCCGTCTCTACTAAAAACACAAAAATTAGCCAGGCGTGTACACCTGTAATCCCAGCTACTCGGGAGGCTGAGGCACAAGAATCTCTTGAACCCAGGAGGTGGAGGCTACAGTGAGTTAAGACTGCACCACTGCACTCCAGCCTGGGTGACAAAGTGAAACTCCATCTCAAAAAACAAAACAAAACAAAAAACAAACAAACAAACTCGTGTGATCCCCTAAAGCAAGGGTCGGCACACTTTCCATTAACAGGCTAGACAGGAAAGCATTTGGCCTTCATGGGCTGTGTGGTCTAAAACAACTGCTTAATTCTGCTGGTGCCTCACAGACAAGACACATTATTGGGCATCGCAGGTTCCCACAGGGGACTGAGAACAGGCAGGGTCCAGATCTGGCCTGTGGGCTGCAGCTGGCTGACCCTGCCCCAGAAGGACCTCACAACTCCCCTACAGCCTGAGGAACACTGGTCTAGAAAACCTGTATTTTAAAACACATTGAGCTGGAAGCAGTGGTTCACACCCGTAATAACAACACTTTGGGAGGTCATGGCAAGAGGATTACTTGAGCCCAGGAGTTTGAGACCAGCCTGGGCAACATAGCAGATCTTGTCTATAAAAAACAAACAAAATAAATTAGTCAGGCATGGTGGCTTAGCCTGCAGTCCCAGCTATTTGGGAACTAAGACAAGAGGATCACTTGAGTCCAGGAACTTGAGGCTGCAGTGAGCAGTGATCGCGCCATTGCACTCCCGCCTGGGTGACAGGGCAAGACCTGTGTATGGTGGTACACGCCTATAATCCCAGCTACTTGGGAGGCTGAGGCAGGAGAATCTCTTGAACCCGGCAGGCAGAGGTTGCATGCAGTGAGACAAGATCGCACCACTGCACTCCAGCCTGGGTGACAGAGTGAGACTCTGTCTCAAAAACAAATAAATAAATAGATAGATAAATAAATAAATAAAGAGAAACAAATCCAAAACCCAGCATCCACTGAATAATTATCACACAGTACAAGGACGATATGAAGACACATAAAGTCTCAAAAATGTCTAGCACTTGAAATAGTCACAAACAAGGAAGCTACCACAATGAATTTCAATCTTGTTCCAAAACAAGCAGTTGGGATGCTGCCCTCACCTTGATGGACTGAGTCTCAAATGTGGATGGCAACATGTTGGGGAAGAGCTTCACAGCAACAGGCAGCAGAAACTCCATGAACGGCACCACCACAAACACGAGGAACGGCACCAGGCGGAAGAGGTCAGCGCAGATCCGGAGAAACTGGAAAGGGGTGGAATCCATCAGAGGGGAGCAGAGCACATGTGGGAACAGGGGCAAGAGGTGTGAGCATTTCTCCTATAACGGTTTACAGGCACAACCTCAGGCAGCGACTCACACGACCCACTGAGGACACTAAGTTCTAGAACCACTCAGCAGACCACTACCGAAACCAACTTCTTTCTCAGGGTCCAAAGCAAGTACCAGCAGCCTCCAGAAAAGGAGGGTATAGTGCTGACACCAAGGGCTACTGGGTGCTCCCGGCGATCTAGTCCTCCAAGGACACTGGCCAGCAATCCGGGCTCAGGGCCAGCAAGTGAGGGCTGCAGGCTGAGGACTGGGCATGACTAGAGTGGTGAGGGGTCACCAGGATGGGCTGACCCATACCTTCTCCTGGAGGGTGCTCTAGAAGGAGGGCTTTTCTCGTGTTTCCTCAGACTATACTACAAAGCAGTCATTAGGAAAAAACCCAAGTATTTCATTGACATAAACAAACTAGTGCTTGATGCCATTAAAGAAACACCCAATTTGAAACAATCAGAAATCCCTGTGAAGCCTGAACAACTGCTGGAAAACAGCGTGGGTGATGCTGCCCCTCCTCGGTGCTGCTCACATGGGTCCTTTGGCCAAGGTGTTCCGTGTAGTTCCTACGTTTCCACTGGCAACAAGTGAGCAATCCCAGGGAGACGCCCTGAGAGCAGCAATGTCCTCTTCCTCCTCCTCAGCCTCTTTCTCCCGACCCTGCATTCATGGAGCCAGCCTCCACTCTCATGGACACAAAACAGAAGCTGCCTAACTCTCCTATCTGTCATCTGTAGGAGGGGAGAACCCTGCCTTCCTGTACATTCATTTTTCTATTTATTATTGCACTGGACCCATGGACTCCTATTTTTCACTGATTACAATTTATGACTGTCTTTATTCCCAAACGGTGCCGTATTTGGGCAGGACATATCCTTAAAGCTGGTACGTGTTTTTTGATATGCCTCATTAATTTTTTTAGCAGTTCTACTGAGGTGTAATTAATATACCATAACATTCACCTATTTTAAATAAATTTGGCCGGGCGCGGTGGCTCAAGCCTATAATCCCAGCACTTTGGGAGGCCGAGACGGGTGGATCACGAGGTCAGGAGATCGAGACCATCCTGGCTAACACGGTGAAACCCCGTCTCTACTAAAAAAATACAAAAAACTAGCCAGGCAAGGTGGCGGGCGCCTGTAGTCCCAGCTACTCAGGAGGCTGAGGCAGGAGAATGGCATAAACCCGGGAGGCGGAGCTTGCAGTGAGCTGAGATCCAGCCACTGCACTCCAGCCTGGGCGACAGAGCGAGATTCCATCTCAAACAAACAAACAAACAAACAAAAAATAAATTTGATGATTTTTGGTAAATCTATACATTGTGAAATCATCACTAAAATCCAAATTTACAACTTTTCTTTTTTTTTTTTTGAGATGGCATCTAGCTCTGTCACCCAGGTTGGAGTGCAATGGTGCGATCTCGGATCATTGTATTTTCACCTCCCTGGTTCAAGCAATTCTCCTGCCTCAGCCTCCCAAGTAGCTGGGATTACAGACATGCGCCACCAAGCCCAGCTAACTTTTTTATATTTTTGGTAGAGACACGGTTCACTATGTTGGCCAGGCTGGTCTCAAGCTCCTGACCTCAGGTGATCTGCAGTGCTGGCCTCCCAAAGTGCTGGGTTACAGGTGTGAGCCACTGCACCCAAATAAGAAAATAACTTCTTAAATGTTTTAAACACAAAAGCGGAACTACAAATCCCATCCTCTTAGAGCACATTTAAGTGCACAGGATTATCTTTATTTTTTTTATATTTATTTTTTGGAGACGGAGTCTCGCTCTGTCTCCAGGATGGAGTGTGGTCGTGTGATCTCAGCTCACTGCAACCTCTACCTCCCGGGTTCAAGTGATTCTCCTGCCTCAGCCTACTGAGTAGCTGGGATTACAGGTGCCCGCCACCACGCCCAGCTAATTTTTGTACTTTTAGTAGAGACAGGGTTTCACCATGTTGGCCAGGATGGTGTTGATCTCTTGACCTCCTGATTGGCGCGCCTCGGCCTCCCAAAATGCTGGGATTACAGGCGTGAGCCAAGGCGCCTGGCCAGGATTATCTTTAAAAAGGAAGGCTGGTGCCGGGTGCAGTGGCTCATGCCTGTGATCCCAGCACTTTGGGAGGCCGAGGCAGCAAGACTGCTTGAGGTCAGGAGTTTGAGACCAGCCTTGGCAACACAGTGAGATCCAGTCTCTACAAAAAATTTAAAAATTAGCCTGGTATGGCAGCAGTATCTGTGGTCCCAGCTACATGGGAGGCTGAGGTGGGAGGATCTCTTATGCTCGGGAGGGCTGAGGCTTTGGTTAGCTTTGAGGGTGCAATTGCACTCCAGCCTGGGTAGGGGAGCGGACCCTATCTCAAAAATAAAAATAAGTAAATAAATACTAGAACCACACAAACGTGATATAAACACCAAGAGCTAGAAACCATGAGGTGTTCTTGGGAGGAAAGGGTGGAGTGGACAGGAGATGAGGCTGCACCTGGGAGAGTGGACTTGATTCTCACACAGGGCTGCACTCTCTGCGGCCCATGGTGTCCCATGGCTCTCACAGAAGCAAACAATATCTGTGCTGAAGAAAACTAGCTCGCCACCTACATCATACAAGGTGTGCCCCTCTGAAGTGAGATTCCATCTCTTTTAAATTAAAAAACTAACTAAAAATAAACGAATCGAGCTTTTAGACTTAAAAACATAGCCACTGAAAATAAAACCTCAGTGGTTGCATTAAATAAGATTACTTCAGCTGAAAAGAAAATGAGTAAAATAGAAGGCAGACATCTAGATTGTAGCCCCGAGACAAAGACAGAAAATGGAGAATCTTTTTAGAACCGTGAAGGACAGCAGGAGCTGGTGCACCAGAGGCCAAACCAGGAGCCCCAAGTGCCTGGCCGCTGGTGAGCAAGCAGGTTCTGCGGCAGGTGGCAGACGTGGAGCCTTGGGGTCAGGAGCACGGATACCAACAATAAAAACAAACTCACCCACAGACACACACAGCCCTCCAGACGAACCTGGAAGCAATCAGACAGACAGGGCCTGCACCTGCACCAGAAGTGCAACAGTGGCGACGCAGACCCCTCCCTGGAAACAGCAGCGGGGAGGGGGAATGGCATCGAGAGGGTCAAGAGAGTGGGTGGAGGTGTGTGCTGAAAACTGCTGGTGGGAAAGAGTCAAACACGAGCAGACGGTGTTGCAATTCAATTCAGTGGCTAGGTGCGCCTTTGCATAGGTGTGGTGTTATGACAGGTATTAGTTCCTGGCTCAACTGCCCTTGTTACAGTCTTTTGTGATAATGTTAGGTGTGTCGGGCCTCGGGGGCAGGCCTCTGACCTCCCTACCCTGCTTTCACCTGCCCTCAGGCAGGTCACTAATCTTCCCAACTTCTTGACTATGGGTTTTAAGACCCTCCCTAAAGAAGGTTCCGCCCTATGCCCTGAGGGAACGAATGCCCAAGAGGACTGGGTTCAAGGAGCTTCCAGAAAGCTGAACACGGTAGAGGTTCACCGGGAGTTGCGACCCGGGAAGCATGGAAGCTCCATGCCCCTTCCCTGTACATACCTTGCCTGATGGTCTCTTCACCTGTATCCCTTGCACTATCCTTTATACTAAACTGATAAGTGTTTCCCTAAGTTCTGTGAGCCACTCCAGCAAATTAATCGAACCCAAAGTGGGGGTGGGGGTGCCATCACACCTCATGTAGCCCATAAATACACGTACCTACTATGTACCCACAAAAATAAAAAATTAAAACAATTTAAAAACAAAGAGGGGGCCAGGCACAGTGGCCCATGCCTATAATCCCAGCACTTTGCAAGGCCAAGGCAGGTGGATCACTTGAGGCCAGGAGTTTGAGGGCAGCCTGGCCAACATGGTGAAACCCCTCTCTCCTAAAAATACAAACATTAGCCGGGTGTGATGGTATATGCCTGAAATCCCAGCTACTCAGGTGGCTGAGGCAGGAGAATCACTTGAACCCAGGAGGCAGAGGTTGCAGTGAGCCAAGACTGTGCCACCGCACTCAGGCCTGGGCGACAGAGTGAGACTCTGTCTCAAAAAATAAAAATAAAAATGAAAGCCAGGCGCGGTGGCTCACGCCTGTAATCCCAGCACTTTGGGAGGCTGAGGTGGGCGGATCACGAGGTCAGGAGATCGAGATCACAGTGAAACCCCGTCTCTACTAAAAATACAAAAAATTAGCCAGGCGCGGTGGTGGGCGCCTGTAGTCCCAGCTACTCGGGAGGCTGAGCCAGGAGAATGGCGTGAACCCAGGAGGTGGAGCTTGCAGTGAGCCGAGATCGTGCCACTACACTCCAACCTGGGCGACAGAACTAGACTCCGTCTCAAAAAAAAAAAAAAAAAAAAAAAAAAAAAAAAAAAAATGAAGAGGATTTGGTGGGAACCTAACTTGAAGCCAGTCTGTCAGAAGTTCCGAGAGGCCTGGACTTGAGACTGGTGGGCGGCATCTTGGGGACAGAGTCCTCACCCTGTGGGATCTGATGTTATCTCCAGGTAGATGTTGTCAGAACTGAATCAGAGGACACCCAGCTGGTGTCTGCTGTGTGGTCTTCTATGTGGATGACTGTTGCAGTGGAGGGGAGATGAAATACACGGGTAAACCGAGTTTTTCCTAGGCAATAGGTTTTTTTCTCTACCAAACAGAAAGCAAGCCCTAAAAATAACTTTCAAGCAACCTATAGAGTGAAAAGAATTTGGGCATGGCCCAGCACGGCGGCTCACACCTGTAATCCCGACACTCTAGGAGGCTGAGGTGGGAGGATTGTTTAAGCCCAGGAGTTTGAGACCAGCCTGGGCAACAAAGTGAGACCCTGGATCTATAAGAAACAATTAGCCAGGTGTGGTAGCACAAGCCCGTGGTCCCAGATACTCGGCAGGGTGAGGCGGGAGGATGGCCTATGCCCCGGAAATTGCGCTACTGCACTCCAGCCTGGGTGATACAGCAAGAAAAAAAAAAGAAAGGACTGGACATGTCCCCATTACCTGCCTGCGCTCCCGGCGGGTCAGAGTGTGGCCGTTGAGGATGCGCCAGAGCATGCGTGCTGCGATCTTGGTGTCGATCCATAGCAGGCGGAAGCCATGGTAGTAGTGCTTCAGCTCGTCCAGCACCCTCTGCCCCAGGGACTTCTTCACCACCACCTCTGCGGGGGGGCTGTACACTGGGCCACCTTCCTCCAGCTTCTTGTTTTTGTCCTTCAAGGACTTGAGGGACTTCTCTACTACCGAGTCATCGCCAACAGGGCGTGAAGAGTGCCAGCCGCGCACAGGAAGGCACCGAGGTCCCACAACCACAAAACCCACAGAGGTAGAGGTCCATGGCGCTCCCAACACCGTGCGAAGGCACTCGGGTCTCAGAGTCCAACAGCCGAGGTGATCACCTCTGAAGGATGGGTACACAGGGTGGATGGAAGTGCAGCAGCCAAATGGAACATTCCTTGAAAAGGGAAGAGTAGAAAACAATAGTAAGAGCCAGCACTAGCCTTTGACAGCTCAGCACCAAACACCAACAGCAGCAAAACCCACATGCCTCGTGCCATGCCATGTCACAACCACACACAGTCCCACCTACTTCCTGATGTTTGCACTGCCCCTGGGGAGCCCTTCGGAAGGGAGGCCAGGACAGCGTGCAGCCCCCTCAGCCCCACACCTCGTCGGACAGCAGCATGGGCTCGCTGATCCCTACAGAAGGGCAGGCAGGTCAGACACAAACACAATCAGCAAAGGATGGATCCCTGGGTGGGTCTCCCAGGTCCACTCCCAGAGACTTGGGGAGATAGGGTGCATTGCTTTGGCACTTTGTGGGGGAATGGAGGCAGAGTAGAGACTTTGTTGACTTTGGAGGTCCTCTCCTCCAACAAGTGACTTTCTGGAAAGACCCGTGGCTCTTGAGCAAGACCTGCAGATCAGTAAAGGCGCTCACTGACCTCAGATCTCTACACTAGCTGCCTGCAGGCACCGGAGCAAAACAGCAAAATCCAAAGAATAAGGCCCAAAGCCCATCTCCTCCTCCTCTACGCACCTGTCCACTCTGGCACCAGCAGGCTCTGAGACCAGAGCCTCACACCTGCCCCCTTGCCTGGACATCCCTAGCTCATGCCCTTGCTTCACTCAGATCTCCCTGACCACTGCACCGCTCTGGCCTCTCATCCACAGTGCTGCCTCCTAGCGGGTGCCCTGCTGACATCTGGCCATCTTAGAGACCAGGTGCACACTGTGTGCACCACACTTGCTTTCTCCCAACCGGAATGTGGGTCTGCGAGGGCCAGAGAGCAGGCTCGAGGCCTCACAGGCGGCAGCGGGAGGCTGGCACTAACCCAGACCCATCTCGGTCCAAGCTGCATCGGCCCCAGTAGCCGCCTGTGCCGTATCCATCACAGAAAGGCCTTGAGGAGGCCACTGTAGCCCGGGCATCTGCAGCATGGACTGTGCCTGGCCCAGAACCTACGGTTTGTGTGCAACACAGAGACTATCATTTGACCGCAGCGTGGTGCCACAACACCATTTACAGTCCAAAATTCAAACAGCTGACCTGTGCGAGGCCCTTTCAGGCTCACGATCTCCTGCGTGTCTTGCCTGGCACACTAGAAACTCCCCTGCAATTGGGCACAAATCCCCCCTGGGTGGCCCGAGCTCACCTAAAAGGCCATGTGTGTCGCATAACTTCACATCAGCTCCTCCTGCTTCCATCAGTTCTCTGTGCCTGGCCTGACACCAGCGGCAAAGCCAGAGTTCCGGAGCAGACTGTTGGAGCTCAAATTCCAGCTCCACTACTTACTGCTGTGTGACCTTGACTGAGTAATTTAACCTCTCTGTGCTTTGGGAGCATTTCTCGTGAATTCGTGTGTTAATAGATACTAAGTACCAGGACGGTAACTGCGACATGGGAACACCCACCAACGATGTGGCTCCTGTGATTACCACCACCTCACAGCCTCGGAGAAGCCACCGATCAGAGCTGGAAGCCAGGTGGGGACTCTCTGGACCCGCTGCTTGTCTCTCAGATGGGGATACTGGGGGCCTGCAGACACAGGCCTGCCTCGGCTTGTAGCCCGGAGAGGGCAATGCAACTGGTGCAGGGCACTGTCAGCCCAGGGCAGCTTAGAGTGAGCACACACCAAGATCAGAAACCCAGGCAGCGGGGGTTCCTCTCTGCACCCCAGTAGAGATGGGGTAATGGTCTGAGATCTCCCACAAGAACTCTCCCAGGCTCAGAGTCTTCCCTCAATTACAGACAAGCAAACCCAACACTGACCTCATGGAAAGGTTCTCAAGAATACGGGAAACAGATACATGGAAGGTGCCTGGTGGACACCAGTGAGGCCTGGGAGGGGCAGAAAGGGGGACAGGCACCCGCCCCCTTGGTCACCTCCCCAATCCCTGTGAGGGCAGCTCCAGGCTCTCTCCAGGGTGGCCCAGCCCCACCCACCATGTCTCTAGGTTCTCCCCAGCTCTGGAGTCACCTCTGAGCCAGGAAGAGGCCCCTGAATCCACACAGTCCAGAGTCAAGGCATGCCGAGGGCCGAGCCACACAGAATGCAGCAGAGCCCACGCAGCCTCAGACTGCCCCCTGGCCAGGCTGTGTTCCTTCTGTGAGGTGGGCTCACCTCCCAGTGTGGGTGACGACAGTGCCCGTGCATGGGAACACACCTCCTCCCTACATCAAGCTGAATTACACAACTTCCCAACCCTCAGTTAGCAAGGAAGATGGTGGCTTCCACAAGAAGGCATGATGCCAGCAGTCACGGGGTGTTGACAGGCAAAGACGAAGACTCAAAAAAACAGACCAGGCAGAGAAGCACGAGGCGGACTCAGTGCAGGCAGGGAGCCATCCAGAGTTGGATACACCCACAGGGGCCTGGTCCTCACCACAGTAACATCCCCCGGTAAATCCCATCAGCATTCACACTAAGTACAGATTTAGAAACAAAAATAGCCTCACATCAGCTGAGGTCTCCCCACTGAATGAGATTCACGTTTGCTGGGTCTCACAACTGCTGTCTGACAGTCTGCTTAGCCAAAGTCTGGGCGCTGCTTCTCTGCCTTTGTTTCTATGGGAAAGAACGCTGGAAGCTGATACATAATGTCCATGATGTTCTCTTGGATCAAAAATACTCAGGCAGGGCGCACTGGCTCACATCTGTAATCCCAGTGCTTTGGGAGGCCAACGTGGGTGGATCACTTGGGGCCAGGAGTTCAAGACCAGCCTGGCCAACATAGTGAAACCCTGTCTCTACCAAAACTACAAAAATTAGCAGGGCGTGGTGGCACACACATGTAATCCCAGTTACTTGGAGGGCTGAGGCATGAGAACTGCTTGAAGCTGGGAGGTGGAGGCAGCAGGGAGGCAGAGGCTACAGTGAGCCGAGACCGTGCCACCACACTCCAGCCTAGGTAACAGAGTGAGATTGTCTTAAAAAAAAAAAAAAAAGCTCTATCAGCTGGGCACCATGGCTCATACCTGTAATCCCAGCATTACATGAGGCCAAGGAAGGAGGGCTGCTCAATTCCAGGAGTTCGACCCTAGCCTGGGCAACATAGTGAGACCCTGTCTCTACAGAAGAAAAAAAAAAAAAGGCCAGGCATGGTGGCTCACGCCTGTAATCCTAGCACTTTGGGAGGCTGTGGCAGGCGGATCACGAGGTCAGGAGTTTGAGACCAGCCTGGCCAATATGGTGAAACCCTGTCTCTACTAAAAATACAAAAATTAGCCGGGTGTGGTAGTGCATGCCTATCATCTCAGCTACTTGGGAGGCCGAGGCAGGAGAATCACTTGAACCTGGGAGGCGGAGGTTGCAGTGAGCCAAGACCGTGCCATTACACCCCAGCCTGGGCGATAGAGTGAGACTCCGTCCCCTGCCGCCCCAAAAAAATGATCCACCTACTCACCCTCAGAGATCTGGGCCATTTCAACTGAGGATTACCTGCATCTGTAAAATAACTGTTTAAAAAAACTAATGTAAATGGTTACCATTTATAGCTACTTGTCTGGTGACTCCAGGGGTTTATACTGTGTGACCAAATAAAAAGTAATATTTTTTGGCTGCTGAAACATTACCACCATCCACAATTCTTTTTTTTTTTTTTTTTTTTTTGAGACACAGTTTTGTTCTGTCACCCAGGCTGGAGTATAGTGGCACAATCTGGGCTCACTGCAACCTCTACCTTCCAGGTTCACAAAGTTTTCCTGCCTCAGCCACCGAGTAGCTGGGATTACAGGCATGTGCCACTACACCCAGCTAATTTTTGTATTTTTAGTAGAGATGAAGTTTCACCATGTTGGCCAGACTGGTCTCAAACTCCTAACCTCAAGTGATCTGCCTGCCTCAGCCTCCCAAAGTGCTGAGATTACAGTCATGAGCCACTGCACCTGGCCTCATCCATAATTATTATACATATATTTTTGAGACAGACTCTCCCTCAGTTGCCCAGCCTGGAGTGCAGTGGTGTGATCCTGGCTCACTGCAACCTCCACCTCTTGGGTTCAAGTGATTCTCCTACCTCAGCCTCCCAAGTACCTGGGATTACAGGCGTGCAGCATCACACCCAGTTATTTTTGTATTTTTAGTAGAGACGGGGTTTCACCATGTTGGCCAGGCTGGTCTTGAACTTCTGGCCTCAAGCGATCTGCCCACCTCAACTTCCCAAAGTGCTGGGATTAGAGACGTGAGCTACTGTGCCTGGCCTCATCCATAATTCTTGATAAGCAAACAAGTCCATCAAAACAGCTGTACAGTCCTCATTGTTTAAATTTTCAAGTAGATGTTCAAAATTGGGAACTTAAAAAAAAAGTTACGTGACTAAAGTACAGCTTTTATGTTTTGTTGTTCTTGAGGCGAGTCTCGCTCTGTAGCCCAGGCTGCAGTGCAGTGGCGCCATCTCGGCTCACTGCAAGCTCCACCTCCCGGGTCCCAGTTCAAGCAATTCTCCTGCCTCAGCCTCCCAAGTAGTGGGATTATAGCAACATTCCACCATGCCCAGCTGATTTTTAAATTTTTATTAGAGATGGGGTTTCACCATGTTGGCCAGGCTGGTCTTGAACTCTGACCTCGTGATCTGCCCACCTCAGTCTCCGAAAGTGTTGGGATTACAGGTGTGAGCCACCGTGCCTGGCCAGCTTTTGTTTTAGTATGAAATTTAAATGCTAAAAAGTTGCCGGACAAATTCAACATCCATTCCTAATAAAAAGAGTAACAGACAGAACAAAGATTACTTAAACCCAAAAGCTAACATCATATGTCACAAACACTAGATTCTGTATTTTCTGCTATTGTGATACCGCATGACTGACTACAGCTGCTCTGATACAGATCTGGCTACTGAGCTAAGAACTGAAACCACCCCAGAAGCAGAAGCCCTGGGAAAGAAAAGGCAGATGATTACTGTGTACTAAGATCACACCCATAAACTAAACCTGGGCTGCTACAGGAGCTGAACAAATAACAGGAAAGGGGTCAGATACAAGAAAATTGTACAACTTAGCAACTTACGGGACAGCAATAATCACTTAGAAAAGACAATGAAAACAAATAGAAAATAATAAACATCTGGAAATTATCTAAAATGCAATACATGTGACCTATATAAAGAAAATAGGCCAGGTGCAGTGGGTCATGCCTGTAATCCCAGCACTTTGGGAGGCCAAAGTCAGGAGGATTGCTTAAGTCCAGGAGTTTGAGACCAGCCTGGACAATACAGTGAGATCCTGTCTACAAAAAATACCGAGAAGAAAAAAATTTAGCAAGGCGTCGTGGTACATGCCTGTAGTCCCAGCTACTCAGGAGGCTAAGGTGGGAGAATGGCTTGAGCCTGGGAGATCAAAGCTGTAGTGAGCCATGATTGCACCACTGCACTCTAGCCTAGGCAATGAACAGAATGAGACCCTGTCTCAAAAAAAAAAAAAAAAAAAAAAAAAAAAAGTAATATTCCTTCCCAACTGCTTTGATGGGTTTAATGACACTTCAGTTACGATCCTAAAAAGACTGCTTTAGAAGTGAAATGGTTCAGCTCATCTAGAAGGACAGACAAACAATCAAAGGAAAGTCCAGAGAGACGAGGTTTGGGGGAATTGGTCCCCAGGGAGGAACACCTGCTGGAGAACTCACTAAAGAAAATAACGGGAGCAGCTAGGCGTGGTGGCTCATGCCTGTAATCCCAGCACTTTGGGAGGTTGAGGTAGTTGGATCACCTGAGGTCAGGAGTTCAAGAAGAGCCCGGCCAATGTGGTGAAAATTTTGTATTTTCGTACTAAAAATGCAAAAATTAGCTGAGTGTGGTGGTGGCGCCTCTAATCCCAGCTACTAGAGAGGCTGAGGCAGGAGAATCACTTGAACCCAGGAGGCAGAGGTTGCAGTGAGCTGAGATCACGCCACTGCACTCCAGCCTGGCGACAGAGTGAGACTGTCTCAAAAAAAAAAAAAAAAAAAAAGAAAATGCAACCTTAAGCAAAAAGACATAAGAAAATCAAATTTTTTGGCCGGGCGCGGTGGCTCAAGCCTGTAATCCCAGCACTTTGGGAGGCCGAGACGGGCGGATCACGAGGTCAGGAGATCAAGACCATCCTGGCTAACACAGTGAAACCCCGTCTCTACTAAAAAATACAAAAAACTAGCCGGGCGAGGTGGCGGGCGCCTGTAGTCCCAGCTACTCGGGAGGCTGAGGCAGGAGAATGGCGCAAACCCGGGAGGCGGAGCTTGCAGTGAGCTGAGATCCGGCCACTGCACTCCAGCCTGGGCGACAGCGCGAGACTCCCTCTCAAAAAAAAAAAAAAAAAAAAAAAAAAAAAAAAAAAAAAAAAAAAGAAAATCAAATTTTTTTCTCATCCAAAGTTATAATAAAATTACACTATTTGTGGACCTTAAAGTTGCAGTTTCTGCCGGGCATTGTGGCTCACACCTATAATCTCAGCACTTTGGGAGGCTAAGGCCTGTGGATCACGGGAGGTCAGGAGTTCAAGATCAGCCTGGCCAACGTCGTGAAACCCCGTCTCTAATAAAAATACAAAAATTAGCCAGGTGCAGTGGAGCATGCCTGTAATCACAGCTACTTGGGAGACTGAGGCAGGAGAATCACTTGAACCTGGGAGGCAGAGGCTGCAGTCAGCCAAGCATGTGCCACTGCACTCCAGCCTGGGTGACAGAGCAAGGCTGTCTCAAAAAAAAAAAAAAGTTGCAGTTTCAAAGAACCAACAGACATTAAATGAGACTTGCTGTACACAAAAATACTGACACTGGACACTTTGAAGGTGCAGTGGCCAGTGCCCACTCCAACTGGGAGTCTAAAAATTAAATTCCATTTAATTCCTGTTAGGGGACAGGAAGGCTTCTGTCCCCAGCCCTCCAAGTGCAACTGGGCACTGAGGTTAGGAATGCTTCTATACTTCCTAAAGATTAACTGAGGCATGTGACAATCATTTTCAAAATGGAAAGATAAAGGTTTAAAAGAAACAAAGAACAGGAAAGTAGGATACACTGTTTCCCTCAAAAGTCAAGAGTCACTGGTGACTCTCCACCATTTTCAAACCATTTTCAAATAGACAGGTGCAGAGTGATACTGGTTTACTCACAGGCAGCTCCTCAACCCCAGGGTGCTGGCACAGCTGAGATGAGCAGGATCCCCCAGACTACCTATAACAGGAACAGGGGAAAATAAATAAGTAGTAAATCAGGGATTTATACTGATACCTTTTTTTGTTCTTGGTTTTTGGAGTTTCGCTCCTGCGTCCAGGCTAGAGTACAATGGCGTGATCTTGGCTTACTGCAATCTCCGCCTCTTGGGTTTAATCGATTCTCCTGCCTCAGCCTCCTGAGTAGCTGGAATTACAGGTGCCCACCACCATGCCCAGCTAATTTTTGTGTGTGTGTGTGTTTTTTGTTTTTTTTAGTAGAGACGGGGTTTTACCAGGTTGGCCAAGCTGGTCTCAAACTGCTGACCTCAGGTGATCTGCCTGCCTTGGCCTCCCAAAGCGCTGGGATTGCAGGCATGAGCCACCGTGCCCAGCCTTTTGTTCATTTTTATTTATTTGACTTTGCCCAGGCTGGAATGCAGTGGTACAATCACGGCTCACTGCTGCCTTGAACTCCTGGGCTCAAGGGATCCTTTTGTCTCAGCCTCCCAAGCAGCTGGGACTACAGGCATGCACCATCATGCCCGGCTAATTTTTGTTAAGACGGGGTTTCATTTTGTTGCCTATTTGCCTAGGCTGGTCTCCAACTTTTGGCATCAAGCGACCCTCCTGCACTGGTCTCCCAAAGTGTTGGGATTACAGGTATGAGCCACCACGCCCAGCCTGATATCTTCTAAGTCTGAAAGAAGGCGGGGCGCCGTGGCTCACGCCTATAATCCCAGCACTTTGGGAGGCAAAGGCGGGTGGATCACCTGAGGCCAGGAGTTCAAGACCAGCTTGACCTACGGTGAAACCTCGTCCCTACTAAAAATACAAAATTAGCCGGGCATGGTGGCGCATGCTTGTACTCCCAGCTACTTGGGAGGCTGAGGCAGGAGAATCGCTTGAACCCAGGAGGCAAAGGTTGCAGTGGGCTGGATTGTACCACTGCACTCCAGCCTGGGTAACAAGAGTGAAACTCCGTCTCAAAAAGAAAAAAAAAAGGTCTGAAAGAGTACAGATCTCTTTTGTAGAAACCTGTGTGTGTAAGTTTCTGGAACCCAGTTCTGAGTGTTGGAAGGTTTCAGAACATTGCTAAGTGAAGGGTCTGCCCCAGTTAGGAAAACAGTATCTCAAAGTAGTCCTAAAGAAAGATGGGGAGCCTCAAGTAGACACTGGCTCCAGACACCCCAAGAGGGAAGCCAAGCAGGCCAGCCCTAGGGAGGGAGCACTCCTACCAGGTGGCACCATCCCCACTCACTTCAGCTGGCTCTGGGAGAAACATGATCTCTATGCAGACAGCCCTACAGAGCAAGCAATGACCCCAAGGGGCAAGAGCTGTAAGAATTACTACAACCACAGGCCGGGCGCAGTGGCTCATGCCTGTAATCCCAGCGCTTTGGGAGGCCGAGGCAGGTGGATCACCTGAGGTCGGGAGTTCAAGACCAGCCTGGCCCACATGGTGAAACTCCATCTCCACAAAAAAAAAAAAAAAAAAAAAAAAAAAAAGGAAAAAAAAAAAATTAGCCGGGCATGATGGCAGGTGCATGTAATGCCAGCTACTCGGGAGGCTGAGGCAGGATAATCACCCGAACCCGGGAGGCAGAGGTTGCAGTGAGCTGAGATCACGCCATTGCACTAAAAAAAAAAAAAAAAAAAAGATTTACTAGAACCACAAACACCAAGAGTAAGCCATTTCTTGTATAAACAACAGTGATAAGTGTACAGCACATTTCTAGGATTTCAACATGTTTTTGATGCTTTCCCTAACTTGCTGTAGTTCCTACAAGCATAAAGTCGGAGTTAATTCATACTACCGACATTCAGAGCCCACTGTGGTCAAACTTCATGCTGGGAACAAGACAGGAATAGGAGCAGCAGGGCCAGAGGCACTAGCCCATGGAGGTGCCAGGCCAGGCTGTGCAGAGGCTAGGTGGTGCCAGGAGCCAGCAGGTGGCACCTTGAGATGCCCAGTGGCCTTGAACCTCTAGGCAGTGGGGTTGCAATGAGTCCTCAGCCAGGGAGCAGAAAGTGCAGGTTTAAGATGGGGGAGCTCACTCCAGCCAATCACGAGAGCCACCATGAGAGGAGGGACAAGATGGGGAGGGCAGGCACTGATCCTGCTCCCAGCGGACCCACTTGTCACTTCACCTCATTTAACAGGAGGCAACCCTCATGCTTCTGTGGGGAAGGAAATTCCTAGCACGTGCCACATTTAGGGCTTGTAACAGTCTGGTCTGTAAATTGGGAGCTGGGTTAAGGGAAAAATGTTAGCTATGTTCTCATACACATCAAGTTACATTTTAAGTTAAAATTTAAAAGCACAGTGCAAGTGAACACACCAAGACCCTTCTCATTCCAGCTGAGACCAGCTTTGGTCCCTCACCTTTCTCCACATGAAGGGGGCCCAGCACATTCTCCACTATCCTCCCCACACCATGGCACCTTCGGCCCCTCCACCCCTGCCCTGGCCAGCTCCTGCGCCTCAAGGGCTCAGCCCAGCAAGCAGGAAGGCTGGCAGGTCCCCAGAGCTCCCTGATCTGCCCCCCGCAGTGATCCTACCTTCTCTCTAACACTTGCTGTCCCACTGGCTTCCTTACTAGGCTCTCCCCAAAACCTGTTCTGATGGCTTCTGTCCCCAGCTCTCCAAGGAACCCCCAGTCAAGGCCATCCAGGGCGACGGGGATCACTGTTCCATGTCCCTCATGAGCACAGATGTCATCTGTGGCCAGGCCCTGCTGGGAGCCCTTCTGTTCTTTTTTCCAACATCAACGAATTCTCCAACTAGGAGTCCAACAATTTAATTCCATACTGACACTACCCGGAGTTAGTGCAGACCTCACAGGGTAAGGGCTCAGTCCCACAAGACTGCCCCCACTCCATATGCCCAGGCTACCCACACTTCAGCTGACTACAAATTTGAGGGTTCCCATGACTGCCTTGGTTTTGATAATTCACAAGAATGACTCAGATGCCAGCAATGGACTCTACTTACTATCACAGTTTATTATAAACGGTGCCTAGGAACAACCAGATAGAAAGGCCAAGACGCCAAGGCCAGAGAGGTCCTGAGCACAGGATCCTTTGTCCTGTGGAGCAGGGTGAACACCAATGGGAAGCCTCACCAGCCTCCTCACCCGGAAGTTCTCATCAAGGCTTCATGATTGATTACAGTATTGGCCTACTGGCCATGGGGACTGAACTAAATCTCCAAACCCTCTCCCTTCCTTGGAAGGGGCAGGAAGTTCCCACCTTCTAATCACATCACGGCCAGCGCCTCAATCTATCTAAGGGCTTGCCTAGAGTCACCTCATTAGCATAAACTCAAGTGCTGTGATAATGAATAATAGAAGACACTCCCAAACTCACGCCTGTAATCCTAGCACTCTGGGAGGCCAAGGTGGGTGGATTGCTGTTGAGCTGAGGAGTTAAGCCTGGGCAACACAGAGAGACCCTGTCTCTACAAAAAATAAAAAAAAATCAGCTGGCAGGAGGATCGCTTAGAGGCTGCAGTGGGCCATGATCAAGCTTCTGCACTCCAGCCTGGGTGACAGAGCAAGACCCTGTCTCAAAATACAAATAAATGAAAAAAGACACTCCCATCATTCAGGAAACTTCCGGGGTTTTCAGCCCTCAGTGCTGGTGCCAGGATCGGGTCAAAGAACAAATATATTTCTTATCATAACACACCTTTCTTCACCTGGCTTCCAGGAGACAATGATCCCCTTGCCACTCCTGGGAGATCCTCCCTACCTGACCTCCACCTCCTACCCAGGCAATCTCTTCCCTGACTTGAATACACACCCCCCACAGGTCTGATGAGTCCACACCTCCAAGAACTCTCAACTCACCCCCCGCCTTGTGCTCCTCCCCAAGTCCTCCCCAGTTTCAACAAATGGCACTGTTGTCCCCAGGCAGCTCAGGCCAGAGGTCACCTCTCCTACACAGCCCTTAGGGTCAACCCCGCTTCTACTCATAAAGTGATTTCCTCCCAAAGAGGACAATATGGAGAGGCAGGAGAAGAGTAACTGGGCACTGAAAACCTGACAAACACCACTTCAGCCTACCAATCAAGGTCAACATCAACAGTGACAAATCATTTGGATAGCATGGAGCCTAGACATGATGTGATGAGGATGCTTCACCTCTGTGGTCTTCCTCCAGAAAAACCATCTTTCCCAGCTTGATTATGAGGAAACATCAAGAAATACCAGTAGAGCAGCAAGCACCCTACACTCCCCCTGAGCACTCCTCCTCAAAGATGTCAAGGTCACTGCAGACAAGGAAAGCCTGAGAAGTAATCAAGATGGGTGGTACAGATGGGTCCTGGGAGAGAAAAAAGACCTTAGAGTGAAGAATAGGAGAGGAAAGAAAATCTGAATACATTATGGACTTTAGTGAACAGTAACAGATCAAGGTCAGTTCATTAACTGTGACAACGAACCCTACTCATGTAAGATGTTAGTAGTAGGGGCCTGCAGCACTCCACTTGGTGTATCACTCATAGGGGTTCAGGGACCTCCTCCACAGTCCAGCCCTGGGTTGTGCTGGCTCTGAAATCCCTACTGTTCTTACAGCAGACCTGCCAGTGTCCCTGTCACAAAGTGCAGTAGTACCTACGGAAGACATTTGTTTTCCTGAAATGACAGAATCACACATAAAAAGTTAATTATTATTATTTACCAAAAACCTGCTACATAAGCATGAAGTGGCAAAAGTACTTTTATCACCATCAAGAGGTCCAGAGAGAGCTCTAACATCTAACACAGCAACTGGAAAGACCAAATGCTGAGCTCCACCTTCAGACTGTGCAGTTTCACCACCCAACATCCTCCCACCACTCCAAAAGTTTTAGTGGCTAACCAGCCATTATTGTTAAAAATTACCAGAATTGGGCCGGGCGCGGTGGCTCAAGCCTGTAATCCCAGCACTTTGGGAGGCCGAGACGGGTGGATCATGAGGTCAGGAGATCGAGACCATCCTGGCTAACACGGTGAAACCCCGTCTCTACTAAGAAATACAAAAAACTAGCCGGGCGAGGTGGCGGGCGCCTGTAGTCCCAGCTACTCGGGAAGCTGAGGCAGGAGAATGGCGTGAACTCGGGAGGCGGAGCTTGCAGTGAGCTGAGATCTGGCCACTGCACTCCAGCCTGGGCTACAGAGCGAGACTCCGTCTCAAAAAAAAAAAAAAAAAAAATTACAAGAATTGGGGGCCAGGCGAGGTGGCTCATGCCTGTAATCCCAGCACTTTGGGAGGCTGAGGTGGGTGGATCACCTGAGGTCAGGAGTTCGAGACCAACCTGGCCAACACAGGGAAAACCGTCTCTACTAAAAATACAAAAATTAGCCAGTCGTGGTGGTGGGTGCCTGTAATTCCAGCAACTCAGGAGGCTGAGGCAGGAGAATCACTTGAACCCAGGAGGTGGGGGTTGCTGTAAGCCAAGATCACACCACTGCACTTTAGCCTGAGCAACAGATAGAGACACTGTCTCCAAAAAAAAACAACAACAACAACAAAAAAAACCAAGAATTGGGAGGATACATTCAGGGCAACTTCAATCTATGTCTCAACAGAGACAAGAATTGAAGCTGGGTGTCTGGGCATGGTGGCTCCTGTAATCCCAGCACTTCAGGAGGCCAAAGCAGGAGGATCACTTGAGCCTTGGAGTTCAAGACCAGGCTGGGCAACATATCGAGACCTGTCTCTACAAAAAAATTACAAAAAAAAAAAAAACAATTAGCTGGGTGTTGTGTGGTACAACTAACAACTTGGGAGGCTGAGGCAGAAGGACAGCTTGAGCCCAGGAGTTGGAGGTGCAATGAGTATGATCGCACCACTGCACTAATTACTTTGAGTCCCCCTTAGCAAGTTTTATGTTTATTCCAATTTTACAAATAAGGACATAAACTCAGATAAGTTGGTTAATGAGAGAGGAGGAGGAGGAGGTGGGCACACCCTGGAAGAGCATTCACTCCAGGCAGCACCTTAGGTTAGGGTGGCTAAGGCCACGCACCCTGAGGACCCTCAGGGCTCCGGAGTCCGCGTGTCCCCCGGGTGCAGGTCGTGGCCTAATCACACCACAGGGGTCTGTGGGTGCTGGCATCACCTCATGGGTGACGGACCAGGAAGGCTCCTGCGGCCCAGCAGGTCCTGCTCGCTGGTGTCTGCCCGGCCCATCCAGTCTCGTCTCCGGGACCCCAAACGTGACTTAAGGGCACGGCCGACCTCGTGCGTGGACGACACGTTCCACGGAGCTTACTCGCGCAGGACGCGCCAGGGCTGCCCAGCCCTTCAGAACTTTCCCAAGCCTGTCTCGGAGGCAGTGACCCGCGGGGACCCGGCCGCTTAAGGTCACAGCACCAGGCAGAGGCCCAGCGGCTCCGCCCGGCGCTGGCGGCCCCACCGGCCCACAGGGGCTCCGGAGGCCGGGACCGCCGGGACCCCGCATCACGCGACAACCAGCCCGAACCCGAGGGTCGTCCGCGCTCCCGACCCACCAGCCCAGAGCCGGCCCCGCCCTGGGGCGCCCGCCGCTTACCCCGCGGGGCGGTGATCCGAGACGGCGGAGGGAGGCGGGCGGGCGCCCGGCCGCGGCAGCTCCTCAGTAAGATGGACGCCATGTGCCCGGGCGCGGCGGCAGCTCAGGCCTCCCGAGCTGCCTCCTTCTCCTTCTCCGCGGCTGCCGCGTCTCTATGCCGTCCCGGCGGCGCCTCAGGCCCGGCCCGTGCGGACGGCTGACGGCGGCGGCTGGCCTCGGACTGGCGGCGCTCAGCTCAAGGACCCGGCACCGGCGGCGGCCTTGTCCCAGCACAGACGTCCAGAGGCGCAGGGCGGGGCGGCCAGGCCGCAGCTCCCATTGGGCCCCTCAGCGCCCGCCGCCGGCCAGGTGAGGGGCGGACCGCACCACCGCGGACTACCGGTTCCGGCGTGCACCGGGACGGCCTGCACTCTGGGGCGCGGACTACCGATCCCGGCGTGCACCGGGGCGGCGGACTACCCTGAGGCGCGGACTACCGCTCCCGGCGTGCACTGGCACCGGAACAGCGGGCTTCCGCGGCTCGCTGTATCCTGATTCCCGTCGTACCGTGGACGCCGCCGTTTGCAGCGTGGCGGCGCAGGAGCTGAGGGAGTCGGCCGCGCTTGCGCGGGTATTGTCTTTTCGTCTCCGGGCGGCGGCAACACCCGGTGTGTCCGGAACTTTTCTGGGACTAAGTCCTGCACCCACGAGTAGAAAACGGCTCCTGAGAGCTTGGGGCTCCAAGGGCAAGTCAGGGGACGCTGGGGATGGAGAGGCGCCCTTGTCGCCCTCGGCCGCGGTCCTCGCCGGCCTCCCCTGCTCTGTGGCTCTACTCTCGGCGGTTTGCACTGCGGCGCGCGCAGCCCTGAGTGCCTCTTCCCTGCGTACCAGGCGGCCCTCCCCAGATACGGCGCTGCTCGGCGTCGGGGGTCCCCGGCCACCACTATGGGGACGGGAGCGCAGGGTCCCGCCCCAAAGGACAGGGCCATGCCGGCCCCTGGAGGCGAGGGCACTAGGCTGGGCGGCGGCGCAGCCAGTACACCACCGCCAACCCCGGCACACCGCGTCCTCCCGTCTGAGCGGGAGGGATGGACGTGGGTCCTGCTTGGGCGCGGGGGGACCCCTCGTTTCGCTCTGGCCTAAGCAGCCCCTGGGGTCCCGGGCGCCGCAAGGGCGCCAGGTTTCCTAACCTGGGCCAAACCCTGTCCGCTCCACCTCCCAGTCCAAGAAGGAAGAGCCGAAGGCCAGGACACCAAGGACCTGGCTCGGAGTCTCCAGAATTCCCGCCAGAGCTGGGCTGGGCTCGCGGACCGCTCATGCGCTGTCTCCCAAGAGCCTCCCCGCAGCCCGTTTTAACAGCCAACCTGACCAGTCCAGGGAAGAGAGACCGTGCAGCCTCCTAGCAGACCGTGACCTCTGAGCCCCACCTTCCCCTTCCTTCCCTAAGATGAAGATCCCTGAGTTGGGGCAGAGAAAGCAGACAGTGAGAAATATGGGGACCTGCGGCGCTGGGGGCCCAGCTGGTCGAGATCTCCAGCTAGGAGATCCCCAGCACGGCATTTGCCTTGCCCTCTGTCTTGTTCAGGGATGTAACCTGCCTCCTCCGCGGCACCTCAGGACCCTGCCTGGGGAGGGTTTTGTAGTGCACACTCAGCATCTCTGTTCCCTGGAGCACATGGGGTGTGAAACGCCAGATGCCAGCCAGCTCCCCAGTCTTGAGAGGCTGGTTGAATGGCACATCTCCCTAGGAGGCTCCCTCCCCAGGGTCCCCTCCGCCCCTGCTGTCCGTGCAGTCGGTCCTCACCTATCAGGAAAACTTGGGTTTAGCCTGCTTGCCTGGGTGGTTTTCCCAAACAGGAACTGCCAGGTACTGGGCCTGGATGCGCTTGGATTCCCCATCTCAGGTGGGAGAAGGGAACATTGTTTAGTGCAGGGCACTCTGAAGCCGTTTGTAAGTCCCTGTGTCCACACTGGTCAGTGGGCACTGCAGACATCAAATGCAGACTGAGTTTAAGCACAACTAGGCCTGACCTAGGCCTGTGCTGCCAACAGACATGAAGGGGCCCCGTTTCCACACATCCCTCAGGAGACAAAAGGGGGATACAGAAGGATAGTCCTTGTCTCCCCACCCAGGGTCAGGCCTGAGCTGGAGTGGACAGTTGGTCAGGCTCAGAAAGAACTGGACTTTTTATGGCTCAGCTGTAGGACACTGTCCTAGTCCTGGTCGGGACATTGGTCCTGAGCACCAGATGACTCTGCCCGATGCTAGCTAGGGAGGGAGACCCCAGGGAGGGGAGAAACAGGGCTCCTCCTGTTGATGCCGTGGGGTCCCAGGTGTCCTGAGAAGGCCAAGCAGGAGGTGGTGACTGCCCCATCTGTGCTAGTGTCTGTTTACAGGACTTTGAAGGACACTGGACGAGGGGGGAAGCCCTCCCCGCGGCCTCCACCCTGCCCAAAGTGCCAGGTGTGAGGAAATGTGGAACACACCCTTGCCTGCAGTTGGGATGAACCACCATCCCTGGACCAGGACAAGGAAAGCCTGGCAGTGGAGAGACAATAGCAGGACTGACACAGGCAGGTGCTGTCTTCGATGCTTGTGCAGCCCAGGCAGGGTGGGATCTTAGATAAATTAATTTTCAACAATTAAAATAACTGTGGTCAGGCGCGGTGACTCACACCTGTAATCCCAGCACTTTGGGAGGCCGAGGCAGGCTGATCACGTGATCAGGAGATCGAGCCCATCCTGGCCAACATGGTGAAACCCTGTCTCTACTAAACATACAAAAATTAGCTGGGGATTATTAGGGTGCATCCCTGTAATCCCAGCTACTCGGGAGGCTGAGGCAGGAGAATTGCTTTAACCAGGGAGTCGGAGGTTACAGTGAGCCGAGGTTGCGTCACTGCACTTCAGCCTGGTGACAGAGTGAGACTCTGTCTCAAAAAAGAAAAAAAAAAAAAATAGGTCAAAAGAAATAAGTAGAAATCTGGCATCCAGCCAGCTGACTGTGTACCCTTAAGGCTGGAATGAGGCCTTCCAGTCCCGCCTCTCCATATGCAGCAGAACAAGGTCACAGAACCATGGTGCAGGGTTTAATAGCAAGCACTGTTTTTAGCCTTTCTCTCTTGCTGTCTCTTTTCTTTTTTGGTTTGGGAAACTTCCTTTTCCTTCTCCCTATGTGCCTCACAAATCACACATAACCTTCCATAGTCACTCGTGTGTATACAAGTGACAGAGAAACAGGGCAGGAAGTCCAGGTAGCACACGGCTGCATTAGGGAGGTTACGGATGTAGTTAGGGAGGGGGTTAGGGACCCAGTCAGGGAGGGGGTTAGGGATCCAGTTAAGGAGGGGGTTAGGGACTAGTCAGGGAGGTTAGGGACCTAGTTGGGTTTAGGGATCTAGTTAGGGAAGGGGGCTAGGGATCTAGTTAGGGAGGAAGTTAGGGATCTAGTCAGGGAGGTTAGGAAACCAGTTAGTGAACTAGAGAAAGACTTAGAAGGGCTGTGTGCTGTACTTGACCCACGCTCTGGTGCAAAGCAGCCAGAGTTGCATTTGCCCAGATTGGGGGTTTGCTGGGAAGTATGATGAAAGAAGAGAGTCAAGGATGTTTGCAAGAGACTATGAGGCTTGTCCCAGGAATTTAAACTGAGGAGAGGGAAAGGGAAGAACAGGAGGGGGCAGTGGGAGACAGCAGAAGATAGCAGGATCACTGGCCTGCGGGCTGAGAGGGGTTTGGAGCCAGGTACCAGAGCAAGTAAGCTGACGAGAGTGGGATGCTCCACACACCAAGGGTGCTTGCACTTGCTGGTGATGGCAGGGGCGAGGGTGACAGCACAGGAGAAAAACCTTGGATACCAGGTCACCTTCCTGCAGCTGGGAGAAACTTTCGCCAGGTACATGCAGCAGAAGCGGAGGTCAGCCTCCAGCCTCCAGCTTCCTCTCACCCCACTGAGGAACCACCTGCACATAAAAGTGGTGACTTTGGGCCAAGCACGGTGGCTCATACCTGTAATCCCAGCACTTTGGGAGGCTGAGGTGGGCCGATCACGAGATCAGGAGATTGAGACCATCCTGGCCAACATGGTGAAACCCCGTCTCTACTAAAAATACAAAAAAATAGCTGGGCGGGGTGGCAGGCGCCTGTAATCCCAGCTGCTTGGGAGGCTTAGGCAGGAGAATGGCGTGAACCTGGGAGATGGAGGTTGCGGTGAGATCGTGCCAGTACATTCCAGTGTACATGTACACTATACTACGTTATACTTTTTGAGACATAGCTAGACTCCATCTCAAAAAAAAAAAAAAAAAAAAAAAGGGGTGGCTTTGGGCTGGGACATGGGAGGGCTGTGCATTTGTGTATATATATATATTTTTGAAACAGGGCCTTACTCTGTTGCCCAGTCTGGGGTGCAGTGGTATGATCACGGCTCACCACAGCCTTGACCTCTGGGCTCAAGCAGTCTTCCTGCCTCAGCCTCCTTGAGTAGCTGGGACCACAAGCATGTGCCACCATGCCTGGCTAGTTATTTAATTTTTTGTAGAGACAGGGTCTCACTATGTTGCCCAGGGTGGTCTTTAATTCCTGGCCTCAAGTGAGCCTCCTGCCTCAGCTTCCCAAAGAAATGCTGGCATTAGGCAAGAGGCACCATGTTGACCTACATTTGTTGTTATTTTTTCAAAAATTTTGTTATTAGAATCAATGGAACCCACTTTTTTTTGAAGATAGGGTCTCGCTCTTTTGCCCAGGCTGGAGTGCAGTGGTGCAAAATCGCAGTTCACTGCAGCCTCCACCTCCCAGGCTCAAGGGATCCTCCCACCTTAGCCTCTAGAGTACCTAGGACTATAGGCACATGGCCACCATGCCTGCTTAATTTATGTATTTTTTGTAGAGATGGGGTCTCACCACATTGCCCAGGCTGGTCTTGAACTCTAGGGCTCAAGCAATTCACCTACCTCGGCCTCCCAAAATGCTGGGATTACAGACTCCCTGGTCCCTTTTGGATTTCCACTCTGGGAACAGCCAGCTGCCAGGTCACGAGGACACTCAGATAGAGAGGCACACATGGGGAAGAACTGAGGATAATCCATTTTCAGCAATAGATAACCAAGACAGGATGTACCTAGAGAATTTGCTCTAGGACACCGTCCCAGTTCCCAGGGCATGGCTCCTGGTGTCTCAGCTGCATACCAAGCCTGTGGGCTGAGACGGGTTTGGAGCCAGGTACCAAAGCATTCATGAGGGACATCAGTGAGGTTAGAATGAGGTCTCTCCATGCAGGCTGGGCCAGAGTTTCTATGGCAGCTTGCTTCCTGTTAAGTCCAGGTGGCCTCATCCTGAGCAGGTGCAGCCCACTCCTCAGCCAAGGACAGTGGGATATCTCAGGCTTCCCTGCAAACACTTTCCT